TACAAACTAAAATATAATAATGGAACACTTAGTGGTTATTTGGCTTTAAAGAAATAAACGTAGATATCTTTCCTCAGACGTTTATTCATGCAAAATCAACAAAATGTATTTGAATAGAAATAAGAAAGTGGGAGAAAATTATAAATTATTTACCCTACCTTAGTCGGAATATAATGCACTTATAAAAAAATAAAAAGAAACAATCATATTTGAAAAGTAAAATTTTTTGGGCCTTCAAATCGCGAATTTTTTGATATTAGGTGCGATAAGACAGTCGAATCCTCATATCCGTCGAATGTAGTTTGCAGCATCAGGTCCTTTTCCTTGCAGAACACAGGATCAATGTAAATATGAATAAAAATAACTTATTCTTATTCTTAAATTCTTATCAATTTATCAATTTAATTCTTACCAATTCTCAACAATTCAAAAATTCAGATTGACGAAAGGACTTCGATTGGACCCATTCTTATGTTCAATGGAAAAGTAAATGAAAAATGATTCTTTCCTCAGGGCTCATCTAGCTGCAGTGCCACTTTGTTATATAGCTGCGAAACATGGCCAATGAGAGTGAAAAATATTACGAATTACGAATTTATCACCTTTAAATTCACTTCTAAAACACATTTTCCATGCTTTCTGGGAGAATAAAATCATAAGTGGTCGCATCCACCTTGGCTCAAATGCCATCTGCATTAGCTCGCTAAACTCATCGCATATCTTGGCAAGCCCTATAGTGAATGGAACCAAAAGGACCAGTCAAAGCCTGGAGTGATGTAGACAAAATGGGTTTCCGGTGATGTATCGAGCGGTGGGGCTCCTCTCACTCGCAGACACTCCGCTGTAATGTTCTCAGGGAAACTAATGGAAGCGACCGAATGAAAAAGATTTAATAAATTTTTCATTCACATGCATTTAGCGAAGTCGGTAGGCGTAAATGTTGTGGTAAATGGAGTTCGTTCGAACCGATGGAGTTGGAAAGAATTTAAAATGGGAATTTCAAATTCCTAAAAAACTCTCAAAATTCAGGAAATTAAACCAACGTGTTTCGATAAATTTAAACGAAAACCTTGGGAATCTGTGGAATACAAATAAATCAGACATTCACGTAAAACAGTTCAGGAAATTCCCATAAAGAACCGACGCTGGCGAAGCACGCACGCACGCAAGCACGGTATCGGATAACGCACAAGAACCGAGCACTCAGCGGCATTCCTAAAGAAGGCGCTGAGATTAGCGAAGCGGCGAATTAGATTATTCATTAAGATATTAAAAAATGTATTGAACGGCACTGATTACTCGACAGTGCGAGCGCGCATTTGTCCTCTCCACCAGACGAACTAATGTGTGACGCAAAACCACTACGAAATATTTCTTAAGAAAATTTCACCATAGTCTCAACTTTACAATGGTATTAAAAGAGTCGCACGACTTATAGTGATCGGCAACGCGAAACCGAATGGTAGTAGTGAGTACTGCAAAATAGAGGTTTTATATTTCGCACGGCTGCGACTCTCTAGAATAGCTGAGATTTTCTCGTTCTGTGCAGAGTTAACTGGAATAGTCAGTTTTAGTCAGCTTAAAAATTTTCGTGAATTGCGGTGCTTAATTTATTCTTAATTACTGAACATAATAAGAGATTGTAAGGAAAAAAAAAAGAATGGCTTATGATCTTTGGTGTTGGTACTTTCTTATTGTGGAACGGACAACGGACAACGGGCAGTTTGTTCAAATATCGAATTTTGATTGAATGCAATAACAAAATTGCTTATCACTTATCACTTATTGCTTATCACTTTATTAATTATTCCAGATTACTGATATGACAGAATCGGATAACGAAGCTAATTTTGCGAAATTTATTTTGGCAAAAAATCGAAGACAGCGAAAATCGGGTGGTTGGCAGGTCTTAGGTCGCCTTTTCGTTAGTTTATGAAATATGAATATTGCTAGTTTTTACTATTGCGAATAAAAATAATCCGATGAATAATTTAATATTAATTTAGTCAGACAAATAAATAGTCTGCCGTACTGCCAATGATTTGTTGTTTTGGTGCATATGCTAGGGGAAAGAACGAGGCTTCAGTTTGCGAAATTTCGACCCGTTGTTTCGAAATCGTTCATGTCCATGCCTTTGAAAACCAGTGATTTTCAGTACATTCCTAAATCCCTTCCCTTAAAGCCTCACAAGTGTTAAACAGTCATAATTCATTACTGATTCCTTTCGTTTTCCTTTCTGCTTCTTATGAACTCCTTTTTGGTACTTTAAAGCCTAATAATGGCTGTTCAGTTTTACCCATCTTTATGATTATATTCTCTTAGTTTGCTTTAAATGGAGGTATGTCTGTGGATATCTGAGGTTGGAAGGCATTTGAAGACTTTTCTTCCATTCTTTTTATTAGCGAATATGAGTTTAAATATTAACAGTTATATCTTGGAGATTTTATTTCAGCAAAATTCTCGTAATGAATTAAAAAAATGATTGGTTTTGAACTTATAATTTTTCGAAATGAATTCTTGTTTCAGGTCTTGATTATGGAATTTTTAAAGGAATCGAGAGGAAAGGCTATAGGCAACCAACACCGATTCAGAGAAAAACAATTCCTTTAATTATCGATGGAAAAGGTCGCATTTTTTTCATTTTTTTGTTTTTATGGTCATTTAATGATTCAGTTGGTAATTCCAACAAAAATAATATTTAACAATTCCTATTTTTTCGTTAACATTTATGCTGGAATCGCTCATCTTTGGTTGATTAAACAGTTTTTAGGATTTCAGTACCCGCAGGATTTCAAAAAAATGAATTTTTAGAAGATTTTTTATTTGTAGGCAAAGTTGCGGTAATATAACAATCTGTTTAATTTGGAAAAAATATTAGGATTTAACAATATGTTTAGATACGTATTTAAAATATAACCAGTGATTACCAATTAATCGTTGTTTTCGTTTTTTTTTTTGAAGCTTTTATTAATTTTATTGAAATAATTTTCAATAATAATTTATTTTAATTTTGTTTTAATTTTATTCAATTTTCTTTTTTCTTTAGTATTTACTATTCCTGCCTTTGCGTTACTGATTACTATGGGTAGACTTTTTGACCAAAGAGAATATTAATTTGGGATAGCAGTACTGGTTGGTTCTCATCATTACGTATTTATTTGCTTTTATGTACGTATTTACTGAAAATTTTCTATAATATTTATTAATAGATGTTGTTGCAATGTCCAGAACAGGTAGTGGAAAAACAGCTGCGTTTGTTGTACCAATGCTTCAGAAATTGAAAGCTCATGATACTAAAGGAATTAGAGCCGTTATAATTGAACCAATTCGTGAGCTTGCTATTCAGACTCACAAAGTGGTTCGAGAAGTAAGTTATGTAATAAAGACCATATTTTTTCATTTATCTGATTCGTCGTTACTTTGGCATATTTTGCATATTTTTAGCTTGCACGTTTTACGGATCTCAAATGCGCATGTTTAGTGGGTGGTGATTTAATTGAAGAACAGTTCGCAACAATTCATGCCAAGCCAGACATGTAAATTTTTTTATCCAACTTTCTCATGTGTCGTCCCTTATGCTTTAATTTTAAATTATTTAAATGGTTAAAAACTTAAACTAAATTAATTATTTTATCATTTGTAGCTTAATAGCTACACCTGGTCGACTTTTACATGTAGTTGTTGAAATGGACCTTCGTCTTTTTTCTGTTCAGTATATAGTATTCGATGAGGCGGATAGGTTATTCGAAATGGGATTTTCAGAACAACTTCAGGTTTTCGTGTATTTTTTGAACATATTATTTTTTGTTCGAGTGGGCATATTTTCTTCGATTATTCCTGCCGAAATTTCTATATGATTAAAGTTATTTTTTTGATGATGATATTTTTATAGGAAGTTTTAGAACGTTTATCTTTTAATCGGCAAACTTTACTGTTTTCGGCTACTTTACCAAAAATGCTTGTGGATTTCGCCAAGGCTGGTTTGTCAAATCCTAGTTTAGGTTTAAAAAGCTTCTATCTTTTGCAATAATAAATTGTTACTATCCATTCCGTTTCAAATAAGAAATAAGAAATGAAAATATGAAATGCATAATTGAATGGAATAAGAGCGAATTTCAATTGATTCAAAAATATTTTAATCGTAGTTCGATTTTATTTCTTGCAATTTCTTACATTACTTCTAAAAATTACATGCCATATCAATAGAGGAAAATTTCTTTATTTATTTCTTTAAAATTTTTGCATCGTTTATTTCCAATTTTATAGTTCGATTGGACGTTGATGAAAAATTAAGTGATAAATTGTCTATGATTTTTATATCTTGTCGTGCAGATGATAAAACTGCAGCTTTATTATATCTATTGCGATTCATTATATCGCATGACGAACAAACAATTGTATTTTGTGCAACGATGAAGCATGTTGAGTATTTAGCTGCAATTATAAAAGAAGCTGGAATGATTTGTGTATTTCTCTATAGCCAACTTGATGCAGTTGCCAGAAAAATAAATATGCAGAAGTAAGCGGAATTTTTTTATTATTTAGATATTTTTATAATCGTTTATTTTCATTTGCTTTTGCTAGATTTTATTTTTCAGGTTCCGGAATAAGGAATGCAAAATTTTGGTCGTAACTGATGTTGCAGCTCGAGGCGTTGATATACCAATCTTGGATACCGTCATCAATTTCGATTTTCCTCCAAAAGCAAAATTATTCGTCCATCGTGTTGGTAATTTTTTTGAATTTGATCTCTCATTTTCGAAAATAGTAATTTTTAGAAAATTTCAACGGAATATAAATATTATTTGTTTGATAATGTCTAACATTGTCGAAAATTTTGTATGTTTAATATGTATAAGACTTAAAGAATTAGGGATTAAGAGTGTAATTCTGTTAAATGAAAAATCACAAAGAATTTATTTTCATATTATTCTGTTTGAATATTTTGAAATATTTTAAGGAAGAGTTGCTCGTATGGAACGTCAAGGCAAGGCTATAAGCTTATTTAGTGCAGATGAATTGGCCTATGTTGCTGATCTTTTCCTTTTCTTAGGTCGTCCTTTGAAATTCGCAACCTTGGATTCTGTTCATTCTGGTATTATTTTTATCTTTTGCTCGTTAAACAATTCGTAAAACAAAAGTCTTGCACAGATTGGACATGAATACAAATATGGAAATATGGAAATCTGAAAATTAGCGAAGAAAAATGATTAAACATTGTTATCATTATTCTATTTTATTTTATTTTATTTAAGAAGAATGAATTTTTTATAGTTTAGCTATTATTTTTATCTTCTATATATTCTTATTCTTATGTTTTAAATTTTAGAAAAAGAAGCTATCATTGGAGCTTTTCCCGACGAATTCATCGACGTGGAAGCAGATTTTTTGCATGGTATACATGAGACTTCAATCGAATTGGTATTATTTTAAGAAACCCTTCAGGAACCTTTGAAATTAGATCCAGGAATCTTTAAAGAATGCAATTTTACCTATGTATGAATAATTCGTTTTATTTTTAAATATTACTTTTAGAATGAATTACATCAAAAAGTTATCAATGCAACAAAAAAATATAAAGCAACACGACAACAACCATCTGCAGAATCGGTGCGACGAACAAAGAAAGAATTGCGTGAAGATTTTGTATCTGCTGCTACACATCCAATTTTTAAGACCGAGTTGCAGAATGGTAATGAACGACGAAGTCTTCTTTTAGAATTGAACAATTTTAAGCCGAAAATGGTATATATTTGAGGGATAATTTTTTAAAATTGGCGTGTATCATATTTAATTATATTTGATTTTTTTTAGCTTCCAACCACTTTTTCTTCTACGAGCAGCAACCATTTTTATTTGATTATTTGTGAATACTATTGAATTGGTATTGTGGCATTATGAAATCCTGAGAGTCATTGATTTATTTGTTCCACCATTTTATTTGCTTTTAGACAGTTTTCGAAGTGCAAAGCAATAGTAAAGCTTTACCTGCAGCAATAATGAAAGCCAAGCGACGAAATCATCAACGCTATATGAAATCAACTAATTTTGATAAAGATTTTATAAATAAATCTTTCAATTCAAATGTCATCAAAAATATTGCTGAAGCAATAAACGAAAATGATTTGGTAGGCCTTTTACTTTTACATGAGGCACAAAATACAATAATCTAAATAATCTAAATATTAACCCAAATAAATATTAACCCAAGAATTTTTTTTTTATTGATGTAGATTTCATGTTAATTAAATTTTAATACATCAGAAAATGAGCAGTTTATTCTCATACTGTAAAGTCATATGAACATTGTCAGCATATTGAAGATGAGCAATGAGCAATGAGATTAATTTAATGATTAATTTGAATCTGGAGGCAATACTTATCTGAAATAAGTGATTTGTGATTTTAACAGTTTTAAATATTTTCACTTTTTATATCTCCATGTTTATAAGTATTTTTCTGCGCATTGCTAATTTTCCATGGTATTTTTTCTTTAAAAAATTAGTCGTAAATATGATTTTTCCAGTTTCATTTTCTCATTTGTATTATACAATTTGTAAGTTTTCAAATCTTTTGATTTTTGTTTCTAGATTTATTTGTTGAATATTTAGCACAATTCGTTTGAAACAATAATAACTACAAACGCAGCAGTAAAAAATGGCCATCAAATTAGAAAAAGAAAGGCGATGGAATATTATGAAGAAAAAGCCAAACATTATATTGGTATTAGTTTATTCGCATATTATATAGCGAGTGCAAGCTTCCTCATTTGGCCTGAACACAGAAGGCATATTTTTCGTGGTGTATATAAACTAAAAGTTTGAAATTCAGAACGAAATTCAGCTGTTCTCTTTAAATAGCTACAAAAAGGCAGCAATAGCGTTACTTCCTTAAAATGCTTGAAAATACATCAAATATTTGAATTTTTGTTTGATTTTTATCCAAAAATATTTTTCATTCACATAAATTAGAACTTTTCAAGCTTATGTACCAAGTGATTTCGCCTCTGAACGTGCATTAGCAGTAGATCGTGGCTTTGATGCAGCTATCAAAGCTTCTGCTATTGATATAAATGCAGATGATGACACTGGTATGTATAATCAGCCTAAGAGAAAGATATGGTTAGTGCTTGCTTTATTTCGGTAAAGCTTTGCATTTTTTAAAAATTATGATAATTTTACAGCATATTTACTTAGAGAATTGTCAATAGCCATGTATTTATTTTAATAACAACAAGTAATGGATAATACAAGGTTAATAAAAGAAGAGTACAGTGCAAATACATACGGAAAAAACAAGAAAAATACAAATAATTATATTAGATATAATGGATTGAGGATTGAATTCATTATGAGTGTTACGGATGCTGTTATTCATTTTATTTTTAAAACCAGGTGCCGATGATGCAAATAATGCATTTGAATGATATAAACAGATTTTCAGGGATCGCAAGAAAAAACGATTTGTTGGGCCCGCAGGTGATATGGAGAAAAAAAAAGTGAGGACTGAAGATGGAACATGGTTACATGCTAGTTATAAAAGTGGACGCTATGAGAAGTGGAAACAAAAGCAGAAATTAAGGTACTGGGAAACAAATGACAACAATGAAGAGATTCCAGCTAGCAAAAGCACAAAACGAAGAGAAGTTAGCTTTTTTCTATTTCACTTCTCATTTCATCAATGAAATATTTTCCATGATTTTGTTGAAAATTCCATTAGAATAGAGTAAAATTATAATCTAATTTCCAAATAAAATGAAAAATTTTTAGCGCTGCACCAATCGAATTAATCTGCCTTACCGTAGACATTCAGAGCTTAAGAACGCCGAACAGATCCTGAAAGAAAGGCGAAGAAAACAGAAAATTAAGGAATATCAAGTTTATCGAAGAAAGGAAAATTTGAAAAAAAGCAAAAAAATTTAATTTTTTGATCTGGCATCATTCATAATTAATTCAGTAATATGCATAAACATTGGGTATCCTATTGTTCATTGGTATCTTAATGTCCAAAGAATAAAGAAAAATACAATGGCAATAATAAAAAGGAATAGAATAGTGCAGTGGGTTATTGTTCTCATTCCGGATGCCGATCCTACTCTCGTAAATATTTTTAAAATATTTTTAAAAAGTCTGGCGACTTACATGTATTTTTATTGCCAAGTGACTTCTTGAAAAATGTTTGCTCAGACAAACCATCGGAGCAAGCAATTAGAAATGATGAATTGTCTTAGAAAAAAAAGAACTTTCAAACTAATTGAAAATGCCGAAGATACTTCAATTTTGTAACAAATGTAATAAATGGAATGCCTTGTAAAAAAAGAAATAAAAGGTTTTGTCTGAATCTGAAATTCTGAAGAATCTGAAATTGTTCAACTTCAGCCGCTAAACCCAAAATAGGAAAGTTTTTCCTATCTCTCGATTTTAATTGTACCAGATTTCAACCATCAATTCTTCGATAATTTGCACATCAAATTTTATAGAAACAATCATGCAACGATGAAAGAAACAATAATATTCCTTGAAAAAAGACAATGGAATACCGTAACTGAAATAAAAGGTAATGACGCATTGTATTTTCTATATTTTTAATTGTATTCAATATAAAAATATATTTATAATATTAAATATTTATAAATATATTTATATTTATTTATTCCTACTTATTTTTATGCCGAAATGTTAATTTTAATCACTGTAAAATTTACTTTCGTAGATATAGATATTTTATGCAACAATAAAATAATAAAAACTTGCCATTGAAAAAACACAAAAGTATGCTATAATGGTCGGAAATAAGAATAGGAGAATCGTAAAAAGTAAAGTGGCAATAAATAATTGTCGAGAATCCGGATGTATCGAATCAACACGATTGCGTAATGGATTGTATTTTTTTCCACGAAATATTCGCCAAAGTGATTGAATCGCAATCACAGATAAGATTGTCAATCTGTAGCAATTTTATTAAATAAATAAAACCCTTTAAAAATATTAATAAATTACGAAAATTTAAATAAAGTTGAATAAGATTACTGAAATTTACTATCAAAAAACGAAATGCGCAGCAATTATATAAATAGGATGGAGAAAACTATCTAATTAAATATATTTTACAAGAAAACCATTAAAGTTAAGAAACAATAATCAGCAAAATTCAGTATGGCTTTCAAGAAATTTATCAATCAAAACTACTGTTAAAATTATTGCGACCATTTAATTCTAATCAGTAAACCAAGAAAGCCAATGGCATAAAACGTTACAGGTAACAATAACAGAACAACAATGTCTAATGGAAAATTTGTTCTAAAAAAACTGTAGTTTGATAATAGTCTGTCAACTTCTTTACAGTCGTGGAAAGCACAAGTGCCATTCGCAACATTTCCCCATTGATTTATCATGAATGCTTCATATCCATATCTGCAAAAAAATTAATTCAAAATGAAATTTGCGTTCTCATATTCAAATATTCATTCATATGTTTACCTGTGAGCAAGAAATCTACAGAATGATGACGAGAGGCACTTCATTTAAATGTGAGAACGCAAATTTCACTTTGAATATCAGTAAAGTGACTACCAAAAAGTGACTACCAAAATTCATCCTTATTCAAAAATTCCTCTACTAAATGACATCATAAATGATCATAAATATAAATGATTCAGCATTCTAATAAATTTTGCTGTGGGCTATTTTCCAAAGCAGGCATTTTCAATTTTCGGAAACCCAGTTTTTGGAACTACTTGCCGATAGAAATATGGGTGAGTCACCTGCACTGCGTATGTCAGATTTGGATCTAACCAATATATAGCTCGAATATGAACAGTCGAAATCTTGTAAAGCCATAAAAATTTTTACAATATTCTTATGCTATGCGAGATTTTCTAGTCTCCCTCTTTAGAAACGCAGATAGATAGGAATTTCATCATTATAACCTTGTAAACAGTTCTTTCGTGAAAAAGTGCTTACCGAAACCAACTTATATATTGCAACCAATTGATATAACCAGGTAACTGACCGATATTCGCATATAAGCCACCAGTTAGTGAGAAAATAGTAAGTAATGGACCAGCAATGGATATGGCAATGGTAAAAGATGGACTTATAGCACTGAAAAAATAAAAATTTACTTTCTGCAAAAAAAAGTGGCAAGAGCGAAAAACTTCAAAGGATTTCAAGCCGAAATAACCTTTAAAAAAGCAAACCTAAGCATAAATCCAAATGCAGTTGAACTTTGTTCAATTAAAACACCAATGGTTAAAGCCAAAATTACATGGCTGAATGATATTGTCAGTCCGATTAACCAATAACAAATTAACAATAGCAAAATGCCTATCAAAAATCATAACTAAATGCTTTCAAAGGCTATTGCAAAATTATTAAATTTTTTTATTTTTTCTCAGATGGTTATTCAGTTCCATAGAAAATATTAAATTTCCTTTTATTCAACTTTAATACTAAGTTAATCGAAAAAATTTATGCAAAATCTATATGTAAACTTTCAATTATTTGTGTAGAAAAAATATTATATTCCATAATTACTGGTTGAAATGGTCTCGTAATTTCTAAGAAATATGAATAATTAAACACGTATTTCATTAGATATTATGGATCAAAATTTTCATAAATTTGTTTTAAAAAAACAAACCGTCAATAGTGAAAATAGGTAATAATGCCAATACCTTGGCAAGATAATAAGCCGAAACACCATACAGGCCATCGTGATATTCGCGTCTAAATAATGCATATTCAGATGGCAAATAAGCCAAGATACCAAACACTGATGGATATGTATATTCACATACCAAAAAAAACAAAGCTGCATTGATATTCAATTTTCCAGTCTAAAAATCGTAATTAAGAAAATAAAAATATTCGAAAAAATACATATTAATGAAAAATTTATGAAAATTAACCTTTGTTGAAGTCTTATCGGTCGTGGTGAAATAAAGAGTCCCTAAAAAAAACCCCATTAAGATTCGCTGAATCAATTTTGCACGGATTATTGATGGATTACGAATATCCTCTATTGTTGTACGCTTGATTAATGTTTTTATCTAAAATTAATTTTTAATATAAAAAAAAGTAATCAACTATAAGAAGAAATATGATAAATTTTAGAAGTCTTTAACCAATAAGAAAATCGAAAACAGGATACTAAATAATTATGCTAATTTATTTCAAGAAAACAAACTTGCGTGAAAAATGAGGCTTTTTGACGCTTGGGGGGTCTAAATCCAGGCTTAATGTTTATTTCCAGCTCACTCTTTATTTCATCAAAAGTCTCATATTTTAAGAAAGATAAACATATATTTTCAATACGAGCATAACATTCAATCTCTTTGTGAGGCACGATGGCAAGAGCCTGCAAATGAATTATGATGGAAAAAAATTAGGAAATGATGAACTAAAAAGAAAAGAAAAGGATGAAATATTCACCGAAAGTTTTATAAAACTTCAAAGTGTGACTCCAGAAGAGATCAGTGAAATGATACGGGGACGCCTGTCATTAGGGATCACCTCAAAAGATGGAGAGAATTTTAAGACTATCGAGTGCTTCGAAGGAGTTCAAGGACAGCAGCACGGCGGGATAGAAATCGCTATTGGAACGATATGGCGTTGAGAATGGAGACGGCAGCTCGGATAGGTGATAATAGGAAAATGTTTCGCCTTCATCAAAGCAACTATGACTCGAGAAGGGGTCAGTGAAATGATACGGGATATTAATGGGATGCCTACTGAAAGTATTAAGGATCACCTCAGAAGATGGAAAGAATTTTTTGAGGCCAAACTTAACCACGATGCACCATCTATTGTCTCGAATATAACTGACTTGCCGGTCGACCCTTACGTTTGCAACTACAAGCTGCCAGCAAAAGAGAAAATAATAATCTCTGTAATTCATATGCTTATGGCCAATAAAACTCCCGGAGAAGATGGTCTTTGGGGCGAACTCTTCGAATGTTGCCCATCATCGTTCATAACTCACCTTCAACAATTGTATTCTCTGGTATGGTATAATACCAGAAGACTGGAGCAAAACAATTCTGCTTCCAATTCCTAAGAAAGGTGACAGGACTGCGATAATTACCGAGGAATCAACCTACTAGACATCTCCGGGAAAATTTTCGCTTCCCTTATGCTAAATAATCTCATGGCAACGTGAGATAGCAGAATGGGTCTTAATCAAGCTGGCTTCAGACCGGGACGCAATTGTGCTGGCCAGATATTTACGCTAAGAAAGGTGCTGGAACATCGCTTAAAATACCAGCAATCCACCGTCATTTGCTTTACGGTGTCCCAGAGAAGATCATTCGACTTATAAAAGCATTTTATCAGCATACCCTGGCATATATCTATGTATATGGGGTACTGACAAACTCCTTTGAAATAAGAACTGGTGTCTGTCAAGGGTGCGTCCTTTCCCCTACAATATAAATTGGATAATGGGCATCGCTTCCGGAATTCAAGAAGTGTGCAAATTAGTCCAGAGTAACATAGATCTTGAAAAAGTCGTTTTTGCTGACAGTTATAAGGAAATGCAAATAAACAATTTGTCACCAACTGCAGTGAGAATTGACTTAAAACGAATATAAATAAAACGAAAGTCTTTTCGTCTTATATACAAGATGCTGATAAAATACCTATTTTTATCAATACATTGCTGGTTGAGGATGTGCCCGATTTTAAATACCTTGGATCCACTCTAATCCCAAGTGGTCAGGGAAAGGATGAAATTATAATCCGTATAACAGCTAATCCGTATAACAGCTAGAAACGTGTTTTTTCGGTTGATGAAATCCTCATGAAACTGCGAAATCACCATAAAGATGAAAATTTGGGTCCATGTAGCTGGAATTCGCTTGATCTTGCTATATGGCTGCAAAACATGGCCAATGGGAGTGGAAGATATTAAGCAGCTAGAGTAGCCTTTGACCAGTCATATTTAAAATACATTTTACGGATCCGTGACCGGATGAAATATCACATGATCGCATTCAAATACCACTTGCATTAATAATGCTATTACAGAGCGTCGGTTTGGATGGTTAGGGTATTTTCTTCGTCGTCCACCACAAGAGTTGCCGCATATTTCGTTACTTGCTAAACCGTGCGAAGGATAGCGTCAAAAACGAGAAGCGCCAATCAAGACCTGGAGAAAAACCTGGATAGAATCAGGTCAGGAAAGATTTTGAATGTATAGGAAGACGAACGATATGTGGACTTAGACGATGGAAAAAGGAATGGCTCCTATTACTATTAGCGATGAGGTCGGACCGGACAACTTGGAGACCCTCACCCTTATAGCCAGCGGAGCCTGTCTAATCAGTAATGGTTATTAGAAGAAGAAAAATCTTCAGTAAATAAAAATAGATATTTTTGAAAAAAGTCAGAAAAAAAAGCAGCCTCCTCATATATTAGCAAAAAAGCTAATATCCTGCAAAAAGGGGCAAGAAATAGCTGCTCTTTCGAGAAATTTCCAGATGATGCCATAAAAATTCATGAATATCCGGCGCAAACTTTAAAATGTTTATTAAATTTTTCTACCTAAGAGTCTTGAATAAACTGCATAATCATTAAAATCATTTGTTACCGTTCAAATAAAATAAAAATATATAATTCCAATTATACTCCCAAGTTGGAAATCGCTGCAATGGATCTCCCATATGGGATCCATAGAGGCTAGCTTGAAAATCATTAAATTAAATATTACAAAATAATGCCATTTGGCCATATTACTTGAACAACCATATCAGCTGGATTATATTCATTCGGACATGGATAGCCATTCTTTTCGAGGAACAATAAAACTTTTGATGGTGGACCAATATAGGCAACATGACCTCTAGCAATGAACAAAACACGGTCAAACATATTAAATAATATGGAAGTTGGTTGATGAATTGTACAAATAACCGTACGGCCACGACGAGCCAATTTCAATAAAATCTAAAATTGAAACTAAAGAATGGTGCCAAATTATTACTTTAAATTCTTAAATTCTCACTTATCTGGCTATTTTTTTTCTCCTTTTTTTGAGAAGAAAACATAGTATACAGACAGTATAGAGTATATAACAATATACGTTAAAATTTGACCAAATTTACAGCAGCCAAATCATTTAATAGCAGACAAACTGATAATATAGTCTCATCTTTCAAAATAAACTTTTAATGCTTGTTCCTTTAATTGTTCTTTTATAACCCAAAGCAAATATTACTTCTACTATCGATTCTGCCATGTATGAATCCAATCCAGATGTAGGCTCATCGCAAAATAATACTGAAGGATTATTAAGTGTTTCAGTTGCTAACGCTAGCCTTTTCGCTTCACCGCCTGTAATAATATAAAAAAAATTCCTGACCACAGATTTATATATGATTATAAAAATATATAATAGATAGATTTACATAAAAATATAAAATTAATCAGTGGACAATCGTTATCACTGATTTAAATATTTTTGAAATTATTTACCTTTGCAGGCAACAAAGTCAAAGAAGTTTTCTAAGTTTTCTTGAATATTCATAATAATTTTAATGCATTTAATTATCCACTTTTTCAGAAATTTGTACCAGAAGAACGCAAAAATACGATATATATTTATATATAAAAGAAAAAATACCAGAGATTCCTTTTCGAACTCCAACCGTTCCTATTCTATTATTCTGGCACTTTGAAAGACCGAAAAGCATTATCACCTTTGATACTTCTTTTTGCCGATCTTCTTTCGAAAACTGCCTAGGAAGACGTAAATATGATTGCAAAAGAAGATGTTCTCGTACCGTAAGTGATGAAATAAATAATTCTTCCTTAAAAAATAATTCATAACAATTCATAATGATTTTCTAATAAAAAATAATTCTAAAAATAAAATACCAAAATTTTTAAATATTTTAAATAAAAATATTTTAAAGAACCATAAATGAGCGATATATAATAAAAAATAATTCTAAAAATAAAATATCAAAATTTTTAAATATTTTAAATAAAAATATTCTAAAGAACCATAAATGAGCGATATATAATTATAAAACTACCTTAACAGTAAAAAAACAATGGATGGCAAAGATTCTACAAACCTGTTGAACATATCCACTAATCGCAGTTATACAAGCACCAATATTTAAACCATTAACAATTACTTCACCACCAACTCGTAATCCTTTCAGATTTCTTGATAAAAGTGCATTCAACAATGTCGTCTTACCAGCTCCACTGAATTAACTGATAAACTGATAAACTTTCAGAAGCTCGTAATCCAAAAAGAAAAGCAGGATTCTAATAAAAAATTAACGGCAGCAAATTACGAAAATATTTGTAATATTTCTTATTCAATCTAATTTTTAATTTAATTTAATTTTCATAATTCTTAATTCATTATAATTTAATTTTAAGTTCTTGAATTTATTTTTTAAATTAACTTTTTAAAACAATTAATTTCCAAAATTAATTTTAATTATAATTAATTTTAAAATTAATTTTAAATTAATTAATTCACTGCTTTCCAACAACACTTTAACATAGTTTTCCTGGAAAATTCACCATTCACTTAATTATTTCCACAAAATTATTACAGTTTCTGAAATCGAATTGAAACCTTGCTGGAAAGAAAATTAAACAAACCTTGCGCCCATAAAAGCAATAAGTTGTCCGCTTTTAGCGATACCACTAATATCATCAAGAATTAAACGTCTTGTTTTTTTGGAATATGCATGGATTTTATGCCAAGAAAGAGTAACTGGCGTCACTTCAGCAATATCATCCATAAAACTACCATAATCATTTATGTTTCCACATTCCAGTAAACCTTTCTTCATTTCGTCATCCATAATGATAACAATTGATGATCGATGGAATGAAATTATTACAGATAATTTTAAAGAAATTTGATGAAAAATAATTACTGATAAAGCAAGTAACAAGCGAAAAGTGGCGCAAAGAAATCTTATCAGTAAAAATCATAAAGTATTAAGTAAATAATACGTTTAAATCAAATACAATTATTAAAGATAGAAGCATATATACTATGTAATATAAATATATATATATATATATATATACATATATACCAATAAATCTGACAACCAAGACTTTCTCTTGCTTAAATTACAATTTGATCAGCAATTTATCAACCTGATAACAAGGAAGCATTAAATAAAAGATGCTTTTGCAGTAAATTTCCTTGCAATTTCTAATTTTCCAGTAAACTGTTATAAGATATATCGAATTTGCAAATATCAGATTCACCCCAAAAAGCGACAAAAATATTTAGATAAATGGATAAAATAGAATATTATTTGCATAATATTCAACATTATTAGATAATCATAAATCAAAATACAAGAATTAAAATCAAATACAAGAATCAAAATACAAGAATTTTGCTTAAGCTAAATTAAGCCAGCTTTTAAAATTGGTTTAAATGGATAAAACTAACGGCAGAAAATAAATAAATACCTCGATGCGTATAAATAGAAACAGAATATATGAATAGTCAAAACACTAATAAGATCTGACAAAGCAGCTAAAAAAACTGATAAGCCAAGAAAGCAGCACATCGGAAGACAACTAAATCCAATCCAAACACTCGCCACTGATAGATATGCTATAATTTCCACTTTTATACTGCTAAAACTCTTTTTTTATTGTTAGAAATTATTTCAATTGTAAACATATGTTGACTTTGCTATATATTTCAATTTTATTCGAGTTTTATTAGAATGTACTGCAACTTTATGCACCCGCAAATCAGTAAACCACAAATATAGATTTTGTGGAACGTGGCTAGAGGCGATTAGTAATTGATACTTCTATTGCTTAAAAAGTAACTTGAAAGGAAAAAAATTATATATTGCTAAAAAAATACTTTGCCATAAATGAATATGATAGGAGAAAAACTGCGATAAAATCGAATTGAAAGGAGAATTAAGCTTTAAGCCAGCTGCATTTTTTGTAAGCCAACTGATAAGCTGAAAAAAAATTTTAATTCATTCTTTTAATTCATTCATTTTTTTTAGAACGAAAACTTTTTTGTTCTAAAAAATTCACTTCGCAGAGAAAAAAGTATGAAAATATGAAAATAAATTTTAAATTTTAAATAATCTTAAATTATCATTTTCATATATTTCTTTTTTTTTCCTATTTCCCATTTCATCGACCAAAGCATCAAACCAGTTTAAAACAAAATCTTTAATTTATTTGCTTACTAAGAGGTGACTGCATTAAAGACAAAGGAGCAAAAACAGAAAGATTTTGAATCTTTAGTGCTACTCTTATTTAACAACAATTTACTCCTATCAAGAAATAAGATATGTGAAATGGTAATCGAAACAAAATACCACTTACCCTTCAAGGTCTCCAATATGAAGAAAAGCAAACCTATATAATTCCTTATCTACGATTGAATATTAATTAATTCGCGATATATTTTAATTCCGACCATAGAAACTTAGTTTAAGATATTTATGCTACAAATTATGAAATTTAGGCATACCTTTTCTAGATTTTTAATCATAATCGCGAGGCCATGCCAAATTATTTCGGGTTGAAATTCTGTCTTCACCAATATTATCCAAAGAAGACAACCGAGAATGATATCAAATAAATGTCTTTGCAATCTGAATTGTTAAATCATATATCGCGAATTAAATCATATAATATTTGTCTATAAGAGTTAATTATACTGGAAAAATAATAGGGCTACACTCCATCAAAATCCCTATCTGAACAAAAGCATTAGGTCACTCACTGATCACTAAAGATTAAACATAGATTGAAAAGATTAAATGCTCTGCTTTCCAAAGAACCACCGAAGGTGTACTCTCAACTACATAATACAATAATACAACACTATGGTAAAAGCAGAGCCAGAACAACAGAAATGAGCAATAATAGAAGAATCTGAGAAAAAATCACAAATACCAGTGCAAAGTATCAAGACAATACACGACTAGTTACAGTTGCAGATATCCAACAGCGAATTAAAAACAAGAAAAATTGGACAGCGCCTAGTCCGAATCATCTACACTTATACCTACTGGTTAAAGAAAATAATAGCCGTTCATGATAGCAACACAGATGAACTTGTTGCTTGTGGCATACCCTCACCCAGACTGATTAAGACAGAGAAATGCGACTCTCGTTAGGGATACCGCCAACTACCAATCAACAACCTGTTTCTCCACAATTTGGAAAGTATGAAAAGAACAAAAAAAAGAAAGAAGATAAAGGTACTAGCAGGCATTCTAACCATCGAGCTATAAGACCAGATCAGTAAGCCAGGAAAACCAATGATTCAATGCTCCACACATGGGCTTGCGAATCTCTGGCGCTATACAAAGTCAGTACGATCCTAAAGACTGTCATTGATAACTCAGTAAGACTGTGAAAAACGACACTTGAAGTCATAACAATAAAACAATTTGCACAAGTGGCTATCAAGTGGCTATTAGCTATTATTCGCTATTATTCTGCATAGAACTAAACCCTTTCAGTAAGATAATCACAGGAAGTGGATATGGATATAAGTTCAAGAGCGGCATCAACTATACACCTTAACAAGGATGACGTCAAGTTATAGGCTAAAAGAGAACATTGACTCAATGAGACATTGACTCGTTAACTTATCTAACACGAATTTACTGCGAGGAACTTGGGATGCCATTCGGACTGAAGAAATATGGCAAGTTAATAAAAACAGGAAAAACAGTTAAAACTATGATCGGCCAAAAGGGAAGAAAAGGTAAACATACTAATGTAAACATACTAACTACAATTATCTATGATATCGCACAGTCACAGAAAAAGCGATAAGCAGGCAAGAAAGACTCCAACATTTATATCTTAAATAAAACATTAATACCATCGATCAGTCCAATTGAAAAATAAAATCTATGCCACAAACATAATCACTACTAGTTGTCAGATATTCAGTTGGCATAAGATCGTTAAAGGAATAAAGGGGCTGCCGATTTGAAGACCTTGAAACTCCTCACAATCCATGGAAATTTCCACGCCAAGTCTAATAATCAAAGATTGTAGACCAGCAGGAAAAAAGTGAAGTTTGGTGAATGTCAAAACTACTGGTGAATGTAAAGCTAAGCTGAAAGAAGCTGAAATGGTCAATTCTCACCACTTCGGTCTGCTGTTAATAAAATTAGAATTTTGCAGGAAGATATTGGCGATAAAAATATCAAAGCAGCTCGGATATTTCTAACAGGTTTGCTCTTGTTGGTGAATGCTGGATTCTATTTCCTGCATATCGCCAGATGGTGATATAAAATATTCCACTGGCTCTTATTCAGCTTTCTTTATGGATGCCGTGTCTTGTTATATTTGAATCCCTTTGGCTGATTCGCTATTTGGCATACCACTGTACTTCGATACGCCAATCTGAGGTGATGGATGGTACTGTCTTATCAACCCATTCTTCATCATTTGGTCCTTGACTGATTGATCCTTAATAAAACAAACTCCTAGTTCGAATTCCCGTTTGCTCAATAAAAGCGTGATTTAAATTCGAATACCGACGGAGCTCAAAGGAGATGAAACGGCCAAATCCAACAGTAGTCCACGATATTTGGCGACGCTAGGAGTAAGCCTTATAAAAAGCCGAGTAATGCCAGTGACTCACCTAATTCCATCGCTAAATTCTCCCTCTAAAATTCCAAAAACTTGTTCACTTTCTTTTTTCTACTCATCATTACGATAGGCTTTTATAAATTAACCACAAATGGAAATCTTTTTAATTCTGACCGGTAACAAATATAATATTTTTGTTTGCCTTTTTCTCTTAATTTTTTCCTATGATTTCCCCCATCAATAGTTTACTTCATCTCACACAATTTCCTTTCTCTTTCGCTTTCTATTCCGTAATCCCAATATTCCTTTAATGCTATTATCTGTATGATCGGAAAGTACCGAAATTTTCACTTCCAGAGCTCTCTCCTTCAGTTTCATAATTCTCCATCCCACTCATTATTGGGCACAAAATTTCAATAAATTCAAGCATATTATGTATAGTTAAATTCAGATATATGATTAAGTTTTCCTCTAAAACTTTCCCATGAAATCTCGTGGAAGCCTAATAGGGTGCGAATGCTGAGATTCTAGAAGCCTTGTCCATGGCAAACAAGAATTAAAAACCATGAATTACCATGAATTATTATAATTTTTGATCGAAATAATACTGAATAATTACTTACCTGTACTTTCCATCAAATTTATCACATATCCTTCGAATAACTGAACAATATCTCAGAACTACACCCACTTGCAACATCGACTTATAGCTTTTTTAAATCGCACATTCTCCAACAGATCAACATTTTAATACTAAAAATAATTTATTGAAATTAATTTCGTTTTTTCCGAACAAAAATAAATCCGATTACATTCAAGTACATATTACTTATTGGTACATCTGATCGCTGAACTCTTCAAAAATTATTTGAAGTTAAATTTATTAATCAACACAATTAATGAGGATCACTTAGTGTTAGCAAAATAAATTTATTTATCAACACAATTAATAAGGATCACTTAGTGTTGCTGGCTAGGAAGTGGCAACAGAGAATGAACAAGAGATTTAAAAACAACGCACAACAATCAGCTGGATAAGAATCGCTAACGAACCACTGAAACAGCCAGAAACATCAGCCGTTGATAAGCCAACAAGAAATGAACAAAGGAAAAGTGATAGAAATAAGAAAAAATGAAATCAAACCGAGTTAAAAGCTGCTACTAAATTCGCTGCTTACCCATATGGCTCAATCATGCGACAAAACTACCATTTAAAGTGAAAGGGGATAATGGAAACTAATATTACAGATGGATGTGAAGTACGGTAAAAGGCGAATACTGAGCTCTATGCAAATCTGCCGAATCTATGCAGATTTAATTAAATACGCAGTATTACCATTTAAGTTAAAGCAGCAGAATCGGACATAAATGAAACTGCAAAGGGAAACGAGCACTGCCACCAATCGTTGCGAACCGGTAGTTGAAATCATCCTTTCTTACCAAAATAACAAATGAGACTAAGAACTTTTCTTAAATGATCACCACGAACCAAATTAAATTTATAGCAATAATATATTTAATTTTGCAAACAAAAGTAATAAAATTTCAACAAATTATAAATTGACGACGAGTAATAGAAATGCAAATCTTCTAGATGTAATCAAGAATAAATGTAATAAAAATAAATGAATAATATAAAATTCGGAAATTCACCAAAAGAAATTGAAAATATTTCCATTAATATATTTATTTTAAGCGAAAACAAAATGTCAAAAAATTTAATTTATTGCAAATTTAATTCATTTAATATTTTAATATTTAATTATTAATTATAATTATACTTCATAATTAATTTTCAAATAATTTTATTCGATTTAAACCACGCAAAAAGTAAAAAACGAATAATCTATCATCAGAAAATGAAACAAGAAAAAAATTCATTTTTTTCTTCATTTGTTATTCGAGTAAATTATATGATAGAACAAGTTTCTTTCTAAAAGAATATTGCAAATTAAAATGCGAGATTTTCATAAATATCCAACATTATTTTTATATACAATTTTCCACTGAGTAGGTTGTTCACAGGACATAGAATCATCTGGACATAGTCGATTAAAAGTAGTATTTGGTTCAAATCCTAAAATTTCGCGATCCTCTTGTATACGATAGGAAAATGTTGAAGTATACGAGCCGATGAAATATCTTGCATGAGCACAAATCCACTGAAATCTCTTCAAATCTTCCAATGTTGAAACAATTTTATTGCATCAGATTGATGTTAAAAACTCAGATATAATCAAAATGAATAACACGAGGATTCATGTACTTGAAATAAAGGAGGAACCGACTGGATAAAAATAAATCGCGGAACAACCTGATCTATAATTGCAACTTCACCATCTGATAATGAGTCATTGTTAACGAACTGTTTAACTTCTATCCTTGGAGGTAAAAAACTTTTTAAATGATTCACTTCATCATTTGGTGCATCTGTGCTAAGAAAGACGGTGTTAAGATTCATAGCATCGAGCAATTTTAATATCTGAAAGAGAAAATAAAAGCTATAATTTGTCTACGATATGATAAATTTAAAAATTAATTAATTAATGTATCAGAAAAGGAAAATTTTGATATCAATTTAAAATCAACTGTGAAAAAGTGAACTTAACGTTCAAAGATATTCTATCTAAAATATCTTACCACAAGAAAAATTAATTTTTCAATCAAAACGAAAAAACTAAATCACCTGAAGTGCCGTACCTTGAATCGATGGAATATGAGAAAGATGCGAACGAATGAAGTCGCGCCGTCGCCAGTGAATACAGATATAATCGCCTCCTTGAGCTTCACCATGTTTCTATAAATATTAACAAATAGCAGCAAGGATTTCACTTTTGCTCTACAAATGAAGAATTCTGATTTTCTTACAGAATGAAATTAGAAAAGAAAAATAAGCAAAATTTCATACGCATACCTTAAAAGTATTTTTCCACGTATCATTTAATGCAGTTTTGTCTGTTATATCAGATGAATTTAGATACTTTTCTCTAAAATATGATCGAATTTAAAATAAATTTCAATGACAAAAAAATAAAATTACTCCGTCGATAGGAATATAGTTAGTATATGATTAGCACAAACACATCCAAAAATCTTGGACAATATATTTTGAATACTATGACTTTAAAAATAGGGAAAATTCTCATACCTAAATAAATTACCAGTAGTAATAAGATGATTTGCGTAACGCATCGATCGACGAGCTTGCCAGTAATATTCATCACCAAAATAATCATGCAAGATAATCTCAGCTCGATCGATGAAGAGTGACTTTGCAATCAGATGATCATTCACAACAAACTTCATTAATGTTTGAGAATCGCCTTGCATCGATATACAAGAAAAACTTTTAGCAGTAATATTTTCATAGGAAAAAAACCAGCCATGCCTAAAATATTTGAAACATCTGGAATATATTCAATTCAATCATAAAAACTGTCGTAAAAAGCGAACACAAAAAAAATATACAAATTAAATTCACTAAATAAATCAGCATTATAATCTAAAATTCCATTTCCTTTTTATACCAAAAAAATACTAATTTGTATATAAATTTACAAAATTTTACTACTATCCAAACATGAACAAATAACTATATTTTTTGTTATAAACATCTGTTAATTATGTGCGCCTTGCTATTCATACAAAATGTTTTTTTTTTGGTTAATGGATATAATGCGTATGATATAGAGCATATTGTACTTTGGTATCTTTTGGTATTTTTTGGTATTAGGTGTTTTGAATTTGGGCCCTATTTATATGTTTAGATATATACTTTGTCTGCTTCATACATTCCCTAGTTATAGTTGTGCATGGGAAATTTGGCTCCCCCTCATTCTTTTTTATCTTATTTCATTTGTTTCTTAATTGTTCGCTCGAACTTATTGTTGTTTATTTCATATTACAATAAAGATAAAAAATTCTTAGCCTGCTTGGGCATAAAACGGCGAGCCATTAGACCTACAATGATGAACCGCATCCCTTCCGTTTGAAACTTATTTTCGCCAGTCTAATATGCTGAATCGCGCCAATCCCTTCTCAACAGCCTAAGTCCTCCACGATAAAAATAAATTGGAAAATATTAACAATTAAATATTAACTTTTTAAATTTTGAACTTAAAATATAAAATTTTTATAGTTCATACTACAAAAAAAATCAAATTTGCTTTATTTGAATTATCAAGACCATTCCATAGAAATATAAAAAAACAAAATTCATAAACCAAGAAATGCTAACCACTTCGAACCAACCAATCTATAAAATTTTTCACCATCGATACAGTCTCTTTTATCATATTTAAATTCAAAATGGCCACTTTTCCATCCTTCAGTATATGCTTGAAGATAAATTACTTCGTCGATAGGATTATAATTGGTATCTATAAAAAATATAAACCAATCTAAATGCAGAAAAAATGAATTGGTGCTTTCATTAAGTTAGGCGCAAAAAATATTTTTTGAACGATTTTCGTATATGAATTCGGTATGGTTTGGTTCTTCCCCCTCTCAATTCTTTTTCCTTTATCACTAGTACTTTTGCCACAATAATATTGGCGTTCACCTTATCTGGAAAAATTCGCCCACTGGCTATTAGTACGATAATGGTTTTTTACCAGTGAGTAACCTGGGGAATACAGGTGGCTCGCAGCGCCACTTCGGTTTTCATGATAGGTTTGCTCTTGTTAGAAGCAGGACATTAACCTTAAGCTAAAGAAATCTAACATTAAGTTACCCAATTTCTTCACAACCAGTATAACCAGTAACCAGTTATCGGATGATTATCAAATAAAGCAGTACCAATTTTTTTTGGATCTTAAATACTAAAAATCATCCATTGTTTTGAAAATCATTGTTTTGAAAATCATTTTGGCGGAAGTTTCCAACAAATGAATAAAAATAACTTGAATGGCCCAAATTGAAATATCTACATTATTTAATGAAACATCGGTATACCTATCAAAAACTGTTGAAATTCAATAACTGGTATAAATTCATTAATACTTTTAATATCGAAAAATTTCGACCAAGGCAATTTAACTGCATAATTTTTCCAATGATATAATCCACCCCATGGAGGCAATACTAAAATATAATTATGACCAAGTTCGCGCAACATGCGAACGGTATTCGCAATCCTGGAATCAAGCAACAAATTGTAAACAAAATGAGATACAATAAAAAATTAAATATTGCCAGCAAACCTCATAAAAACATCGCGCCTTAAATTAAAACCTTCACCATGGTTAACATCGTAAAGAATATATTTGACTTCTGCAATGCTATAATCACCATTTAGAATAGAAACGAAACTGTTCGTTTCTATATTTTTTGTAAATAACAGCAATATTAGTAATGAACCAATCATACTTATAGATCATCAAGAACTCTGAAAATGATTTATGAAATAAGCACTTATTTATAAGAAAATATAAACCGAATATATAGAATAACCTACATTAGATTCCTAAATTAAAAAGCGAGGCACCTTTCGTCTGCAACAATTGGTAAGGCAAATACATAAGAAAAGAAACGGAAGGAATTAGCACTCCATACATATCTTAAAAAAAGGAAAATATAAGAAAGTGGAATTTGCCGTCGAAGAATACTTCCAATCAAAACATGAACAATGGACATCTTAAATTAAAACTACAGATGATGGGAACCAATATTACAAACTGAACGGTGAGGCTCAAACAAAAAAGCCTTAACTAAAATAGAAAAAGAAGCAAAGTGGAAATACCACATATACATAAGGCCTTTTCAATATTATCCATATAAGCGAAAAGTAAGCATGAAGCGCAGCGCCAAGCTGAACCAATCTATGCATCGCTAATCTGAAGAAATTCGTAGGAAACCCATTATTTCTAAAATCATTCAAAAATTCATTGAATGTGTCATAATTATGAATACTTATAGGAAGACTACTTTATTTTTAAGAAACTTAAAAATCCAAAATTGGGGAATGCATAAGGTAAAAAATTGAGGATAATCAACCGAAAAAAACCTTTTCCAAAAATCCTCTACAATAAATTTAATCCGATTACAGAGCATTTAGAAACATGAAAAGAAATCGATTTTTTAACATTTGGCTTAATTACTAAATTAAAACTATTTAAAATAATATATACTTTTCGTCTTCTTTTACAAATAATTAATAAAACAAACAGGTAATATATTTAATTTAACAGAATTTAATATAAGATATGCAAAATAATTTAAAAACTGAGCAAATATATGAACAATTGAGCAAAAGATAAGCAAATTTATATCCGAATTCCTAACAATTTTAATTAGCAATTTTAATCATAAAAATCGGCAGTGGATTTAAATCCTCACTCCCTATATTTATCAACTTATAAGGCATATTCTTAATAAAGGATATTCCTTAAAAACAAAACTAAAAATTTGTCAAAAATACCTAAGACTGCAAGAAATATATAGTAACAGGATTTACAATTTATTTTATGATTCTCCATTTAATTAAAAATCCTTGCGAAACATAACATTAACATAATAGTACCATACATTCAATAAATTGTTGCCGAAATATCGTATGACACTCGTATTAATGAGTTCCTTTATTTGAAACGATAGAACGTAAACTTGATATCGATGCCTGCCGTGGGTCACGAAAGTGTCGTCGAGTGGATAATTTGAGATTGCTTGGTCGTGGAAGAATATAGTGAGCTGGAGTCACAGGAGGAGTTTCAGCAAACAGCAATGAATAAGTCGATTCACTGAATGTGGAGATATAAAGCATAGCTGAAAAATACTTAGTAGAACCTTTAATATGGCTTTCAATAGCTAATATAAAGAAGCAGTTTCGAATAATTTCCGTTTATCTACCATCAAAATCATCAAAAATATGTGGGTAATACTGGATAACCTATCAATGTTTTTGTATTTTTATGATTCTTTGGCGAAGGAATCAACCAAAAATGGTGTTACTGGAAGAACGGTTGAAATAAAAGAAAGAAAGACAGAACGAGGTTCCTTTGTGTTAAAAAGCTATTTTTAAAGCTATGTTAAAGGTGTTTGAAAAATGTTAAGTAGTTGCGAAAAAAGTTTGGCGTAATGAGGTTTTCGACGGCTCCGTCGCTCTACTCTATTTTTTGCTGTTTTCATAATTTCTTAATTTTTGGTAGCAAAATACTTAACTCCTCCACTAATTGTTCCTCCTTTTCGAAATAAGATTATTAAATCATCTTACTGCATTATTTAAATTTAACAACACAAATGTCAATAATATTAACTCAATTTAAACTTCCTTGTGATATACTTCCTATAAATGAAAAATAAAATCTTCCTATAAATGAAAATGAAAAATTTCATTTTTTGCGTCATTTGCAAAAATTTCACTGGAAATTTGGCACCATTGCCATTCAACCGCCTAGATCATTGCCTTCCCATACACATATACTAACCAATAATTTTATTATAATTAATATTTATTATTATAATTTTTTTAGATTCAAATATATATCATTATTAATTTTTTTATTGCTTTGAATGTAATAATTCTTTGAAAAAATTCCTATATGAATATGATTATAAATAACATCTTGAAAGATTTGTCGAATTATTCCTTTCTTCTTCTGTTTGATTGTAGCAAATTGTTGCGAGACCTAATTTGTTCATCCAACTAAAATTCTAATCATTCAATTATAAATTTTTAAAGGATCATAAAAATTTGTAAAAGAATATAAAGCAAATCGTACTTTTTCATATCGTAAGTAGTGAATGCAGAAAAAAGAAAGACAACTGAACGACGATACAACCGAAAAACGCTGAAATTTTACAATAAAAAAATAGCCATATTTTTTCTTTTACAAAAAGATGAAAAAAGAACAAAGAAAATAAAAATTTTAAGAATATTCGAAAAACTAACTGTTTTTTTGATGTTTTCAAAAAAGGTGCATCCGATACAAAGAAATTGGCAACGGCAATTATGATATCAGCGTTAGGGGCCTAGAAATGAAAACAAAGTTAAACAATTAAACTCAAAATAAAAAATTATATCAAAGAAGCAAAAAGCCGCTCGGAAATTTTTTTAATTTTACCGGGACTTTACCAGGTGTAACAAAAACTGAAAGAAAGCAAAATAATTTTGATTGGCTTTACCATATTTACTAAAGCAATAAAAAAGTTAAATGTTTTTAAAAAAATTTTCATATTTATATAAAACAGTTATTCAATGGAAAATATACGTTAAAATTATTTTATTACAACTATAAATAAAATACACTTGAACTCACCGACTTATTTGAATAGATAAATAATACACTTGAACAAAGTACCATCCAACATTTAATCCATTTTCCACGATAACTTGTTTCATGAGCAAAGCGTTTCCGATGAATCCAACCTTCACACGTCTTGGCATTTAGACTATAGTATGGAATTCTTGCCATTTCACGCAAAAGATTTGGTTCATTTGAAGCAGTTATGTTTTCTAAAACTTCAGTTCTCTTTAGAAAACTCATTTTTTCAGTAAAACGCTTATATTTCAAAAAATTTTCATTATTCGAAAATTCATGCTATCAAAGAAGCGGTTTATTTATTCCTTAATTACTGTTTAATATATACTTATGAATATAAATGAGCACTTAAAGTAAAAAGAGAAGAGCAGTTTTCGCCAACCATTCGGCGATATCATCGCTAATATAAAATTGACATTTTTAAATGACAGGTTCAGTTATATCGGAGACAGGACCTGAATTCTAATTCTTTCGACGAAAACTAGCAAAAACTACTCGGCTATCCCGTTTCCACCGCTATTCATTATGAGCATTTTTTATTTATTATTTTTATTATATATAAGCATGTTATTAAGCATATTATTAAGCATGAACTTATTTTTTATGTAACTTTTAAATTTAATCATTGGTTTAACAAAGGAGGAAAAAGATTAATAAAGTTACGAAGTTTTCGGTTATTTCGCTCATTTTGTTAGATAAGAACTAAAAAAGATAAAAATATAAAGAGATGACCAGTGTTATTTATTGATGGAAAGTGATTTTCCGATTCTGAATCACTCATGCAATCACTTCCAGATTCATCGAATTCGGCAATGGGCTAAAAATGTCGTCCATTAACCTTACGAGACTGACTTGTGTTAGCAAAATTAATATCCATCTAATGAATTTCAATATGCGTTGAATCAATGAATCAAAAATTAATTTTGAAAAATGAAAAACTGGATTAGAAAATAGCGAAAATAACTATAAAAGTTTTGAGTGAAACTTTATTTCCCTCTAAAATTCATGAGAAAAAAACATACTGCATTAATTGCACCAACACTTTGAGAACAATCACTTTTTTTACATGTATTTAAATTTATGCTCTCTGTCAAATTATGCTTTGATACAGTGATTATTTCCCCATCATCATGATGTTTATTATTATAATCGCTAAAATAATAGCGAATTAACCAAAATTAAAAGCAATATATATGAAAGTAAGATGAGAAAAAAACAATAAAAACAATGGAGGATTCTCAGAAAAATATATTAAATTAATAAAAAGGACATCGAGAATAGAACTTCGAGTTGAAATACCTGGGACGACTCGTTTTAATATTTATTTATAAAAATAAGAAATACCTTCATACTAATGAAATAATTTCAGTTAAATTAAGCTTTGAGGTAATCAAAGCCATAGAACAATTTTGTTAGGATAAATGTGATTTTTATGTAGAATAGAATACTAATAGAATACTCTGAAATTTGGAAAAAAATATCGAGTTTAAAGTTAATGCAATCTAAATGTATCAAAGTTTCAGACAATTATATCATGCCTACAAAAAAAACTGCAAACTATTTCTAATTCTTTATTTTATCATATTCTGCAACAATTTACACGTTTGAAATAAATCATAAATGTAAATCACCACTCTATTTGCCTAATACGTACAACCCAAAAGAAAAAGAGAAAAGGTTTCTCCAGCAAACTCATCCCCAAAAATCATGTTATACTCTTTTCCTCTGAATCTCCTTATATTTTTTTCAAACTCACTGAATCCCCGTTATCTATCTTATTTCTTCTTTTTCTTCTTCTACAAGCCATCACTAGATAAGTTGACTCCACTGGTTATAAGGGTAAGACGTTTCTACACTGAGCGATCTGATACCATCATCGACATTAAAAAATAATAAGAAGCCTTAAGAAGCCTTTTTCCATCGTCGAAGTCCATCAAATATTGGTGGTCTTCCTATACGTTCAAAAACTTTTCTGATTGTATCAGTCCAGGTCTTGATTGGCCCACCTTGCTTCTAACGCTACCCATCACAGCATTTAGAAAGCAACGAAATATGTCAATTCCTGTGGTGGACAATGGAAAACGTTTAATGCAAGTGGTATTTGAACGAAGATGGATGCGACCATTTTTTGGATACGATTTTATTCACTCGGTGAACCCGTAAAATGTACCTTAGATATGAGTGCTCAAAGGCAGATAAATCTATCGAATAGTTGAATAGTTATAGGGGAAAGGATGCAGCCCTGATAAAGACCAGTTTTTATTTCAAAAGACTCAGTGCCCTATATATACAGATCTGCGCCAACGTACGCTGATAATTGCCTTTATGAGCTGAATGATCTTCTCTGTAACACCTCAGCGTCACACTCCAAATCGCAGCTCTATCAATTGCATCGAAGGCAGCTACAAAGTCATGAAACACGTGAAGATGGATTGCAAATATTTGAAGTTCCAACATACTCCTTCTCTGAATCCAGATTGATTAGGGCGTACCTTGCCGTCCCATACTATAAGCAGTATATCCTATCACCATTCTTGGTAACTGAGAATCCAATTGTTTTGCTCCAATCATCTGGTAGTATTTCTTTTTTTCCATACCAGAGAGTATTTTGTTAAAGATGGGTTATGAAGGATGATTAACAATATTTGAAGGGTTCAGCCTGAGAAATAACGGAGATTATTTCTACTTCTCTTGGCCTATCACAATTGCAATCGTATAGTTCGACGAACGTATCAGCTATATTCGGAAACAGATTCATTGTTAAGTTCGGCCTCAAAGAATTCCTTTCATCTTATAAGGCGATCTTTAATGCTTTTGATAGGTACACTATTGCTGTCCTTTACCATCTCACTGATCGTTCCCGATGTTCTGAAGTGTCGCTCCAATAGTGATTTCTATTTTCGTTAATTCTTTGAAGCATACTTACTTAATACATTCCAGCTGCCGTTAATTTTAAAGAATTATGAAAAGTAATGAAAAACATAAAATTATTTGAGGACATTAATCCTCATATAAAATAACTACTCGAAGACAGTCTATTTATTATATTTCGAAATATATTTCGAGATATATATTTTGAAAATGGGATAAAAAACAAATAAATTTGCATATATGAAGTTGTGAAATATAGAGCACAGGCATACAACAAAAATGCTAATGTTTTGAAAAACCCTGAAACCATACCCTGAAACTTCCTTTTCTAAGAAAACTGGTGACAAGCTATCAACACAATTTTTACAACCAATCGTTATCCTTAGATCCAAGCATGAATCCCAGTCAATAAGATTTGAACTCGGCAAATCCATTTCATTAAGTTCATGTGCCTCAACAATACCAATAGTTGCATATTCGTCTGGCTCTAACGAGATCACAAAATCTGGAAAAAAAAAGCAATAGACGATCTAATGTATAAATCGAAAAAAGAGAAAAAGGGGTTAAGAAAATGACAAAGAATAACACAAAAATAACTTTTTTGAAAAAGTGGTAACATTCCAAAAAATGCAAAAACTTTTTTTACGAAAAAATAACCATCGAGGCAGTTAATGGAAAATATACTGTCAACAAGCTGCTCATCTATTGACTGTACATTACTTATGTGGTCTATCAAATTTTCCACAATTAGTTGATTGTCTATAAAAGATCGAACGTATCCCAGATGTTGATGACGCATTAAACGTCCTTCACGAGATATAATAGCTAAATTATCGAAATAATCACTAAATAATCATAATCACTAAAAAATTCTTTATCTTATAAAATCATTATTTTATAATAAATATATATATATCATATTAATATCATATATTTATTTTATAATAAAAGAAAATGGTTCTAAATATTACAAAAAAATTTGCCTGCTCATGAGGTCTTAAAAATGGATTAAATTTATAATAAATTAATATAATTTTTACATAATTTACCATCAAATAACAAGGGGAGGAAAAACTCACTTAATTCTGGCGCATTGATATTGATATTTGCACTTTTACCACAGCAATCATCTAATTTTTTATACGTTTCAGATATATTAGATAACATATCTTTCGCATCAACTTGAAGTAAATCGTCAACTGATATATTCCTTCCGTTAAATAAGATTGCCGGAGGAGTGCCACAAGATATAGTTGCACGTCTCGATGTTGCAGCAACTACAGATGGATTCAAAATTGAGAACTCCCTACAAAATTTCACCCATTTTAAAGAAATATAAATTTTAAAAATTTATTCATAATCACCATCTTTTCAAAAAATAAAAAGGAATATGTGACTAACGATTGAAGAGGTCCAAAGATCGAAGCTTGAGAATGCAGACTTAAGGCCCTTCTCCTAATTCTTGCGTCTTCAACACACAACTAAAAATATTATTTTAATTATTAAATTGCAAGGAAAAGTGAGAAAATATTCGTTTAATATTTATTAAATCAATCAATTTTGCAGTATTATATTATAGCATTTTCATAAATTTGAAAAATCTCGAATAAAAATTCCTCAAATTCCAATAATTTTTTATTATGCCTTCTGTGCATGATTTCCTTCTATGAAAATACTATTCAAATGATAGAAATCTGAAAAAGAGTAATTTTCAAGGAAAATATGGATTAAAAACCTTATCACTTATCAACAAATCACAATTGTCGAAAAGCAAGGAAATAGCAGCTCTATGCGAATTTGAAGAGAATTTCAATAAAGAATTTGGCGTTTTTTGATGTAAAATTTGTTGCAACTCTGCATTACGCGAACGAGCAAACAACGATGATTGCGTCATTTCACTTGGCCTTTTCTTTATTATCAAAACAAGCTGATTAAAGATTGCATTACCACCGGAGCATAATAATTTAGCAACTTGACCAATATTCCAACCAACCACAGTTTCATCGTTTATCTGTCAAAAAAAAAACTAAATTAAAACCAATCGAAAATTCAAACTCATATAATTAAATTATCGGTTTTGAAATGAAAATTTTGGCCTTATTTAGAATTGATCGAACGATAGGATGAATAAAACAAACTTTATCCAATGCAAAAATGATTGAAGAAATTTATGTTTATAATTTATAATTTAAGTTTATAATTTATGAAAATTATGAAAATGTTAAAAGTAATCCTGCAATTTATTTGTTCAAGAAATTTTTATTTTTATAGAAGAACAATGGAATGAGTAATATTTGAGGAAAATTTTACCTGCAATATTTCATCACCCGCATCAATTTTGCCACAAATATCAGCTGGTGAATGAATTTTCACCTCGCTTACTATATGTATACCATGATATGATGACTGTAAATTGATACCCTTAAAATAATGTATTCTAAAGAATTTTTCAGTTACATTCACGTATCGTTTTTTTTAGTGGCTCAACAGAGGTATCACCTATAGCATTTCCAAAATATTGGTTCGTTCATTCCTTTTATCCCTAATTCATAACAGTTTTAATCTTAGCATGTATAAATAAATAATATAAATAAGGTATAAATTTCGTCCAAAGTTTGGAAAAGATTTTTATCCAACTGAATATTCAAGAGTTTTTCTGGAAGGCAGAAAAGTTATTATTTGTACAAAGGCATTTGTTAACATTTTTAGTTTGTTTTAGGTCTAATTATAAAGACGCTTATAATTTTCATTGATAAAATTCAAATGATATCAAAATCAATATTTTTTTTCAATATTTGGAAAAAAAAAAAATTATTAAGAAATTATTCTCGATTTATTTTGTTTTATTTGGAAATTATTTCTGGTTACAATTCAGCTACGCTCAGCTAAGTTCTCTTGAACTTAATTTTTTTTTCTTTCTTTTTTTTCTTTTTTTGTCTTTGGCAGGAGCAAACCTGCTATTATGTCAAAAATCCGGGTGGCTGCTGGGGACTCACCTGTAACTCTATCCCCAAGTGACTCTATGGTGAAAGGGTCAGATTTTGATACGGCGTCAACGTCTCCCGATGCGCACAATACTTCGAATCCGGTGGTACATGCGATAAGTTTACAATCCGGGCTTAAAACGATCCCAAGGATGATAAATAAAATGTGTTCTCAAGCCAAGGTAATTGCTCGAAACCTATCAAGAAGGGGAACAGTCCTCTGCACGCGCGGCGAGGTATTAGTCGTACCAGCGTGGAACGTTAGAACATTTATGGACGTTGCAAGCCAAGCGATCACTGTCCACACCCTGTCTAAGTATCATGTGGATATCGCTTGCTTGTCAGAGGTCCGTCTTCCTCACTTTGGGTCTCGAGAAGTTATTAATCCTGGTTCAGAGCAGAGATACTGGCTATATCACTTCGAATAACTAGGGAAGAAATGGCGTAGCGATTGCCATGTCTGACAAGGCCCATTTCGCTTTGACTGAGTGGAAACCGGTAAACGACCGTATGGCCTATGCCCGTTTTAAGGGTAAGTTCTGCAATATCTCGGTCATCAGTGTCTATGCTCCAACGTTGTCGGCAGATGACCGTGATAAAGACAAGTTCTATGCGGAACTTCAACTGCTAACAAAGTCTCTACCGAAAGATGACATAATCATAATCGGGGGAGACTGGAATGCTCGCGTAGGTCATAATGCAGCTGCGATGACCTCAACAATTGGCAAATATGGCATCGGAGATCGGTGTGCCAATGGGGAACGTCTTCGTTATGCCGAAGAGCATGAACTTTTTGTTACTAATATTTGCTTCCGGCATCATAAAAAACATCTAGTCACGTGGAACTCCCCGGACAACCAACACTTCAACCAGATTGATTATATCTTAGTCAATCGCCGTTGGAAGAGTTCCGTACTAGATAGTCGTTCCTATCGCGGAACGGGCAATCTTCATGGATCTGACCATGTTATGGTTCGAGCCAAGATCCGCATAAAATTGACAATTCGCCGAAAACAGCATCCCCCAAGTTCTTTCAACTATCTCAAACTAAAAAATTCGGGGACAGTGAGCGCATTTCAAAGTGAATTATTGAAGCATCTCAATGATACAAATATCAATGATTTCTCTGGAACGGCAAATGAATACTGGTGCAAACTAAAGGAATGTCTCCGAAAATCAGCCACTTCCAGGCTAGGGCATACTAGTAGGAAGTGCGCTAGTTGGGTATCGGAAGCAACTATCCAATTGTCTGAAAAAGCTGCCAAGGCAAGCCAAGCGATCACTGTCCACACCCTGTCTAAGTATCGTGTGGATATCGAATGTCAGCTGATCCTGACTACCGGGTGCTTCGAAGATTTGCAACGAAAGCAGCAAGGCGGGACAGAAAGCTCTATTGAAGTGACATGGCCTCAAGAATGAAGGCGGCGGCTCGATTGGGCGACAATAGGAAACTATTCTGCCTTCTTCATAAAGCAACTATGACTCGAGGAACGATCAGTGAAATGGTAAGAGACAGCAATGGCGTTCTAATTAAAAGTATTAAGGATCGCCTAATAAGATGGAAAGAATTCTTTGAGGCCAAACTTAACCATGAAGCGCTATCTGTTGCCCTTGATATAGCTGATACGTTTGCCGAAGCATACGTTTGCAATTGCGAGCCTCCAACAGAAGAAGAAATAATCTCAGTTATCCATAAGCTTAAGGCCAATAAAACTCCAGGAGAAGATGGTCTTCGGGCTGAGCTTTTCAAATGCTGTCCATTGTTCTTCATAAGCACCTTCAACAAATGTACTCTCTAGTATGGGAAAAAGAAATATTACCAGATGATTGGAGCAAAGCAATTCTGCTCCCAATTCTCAAGAAAGGTGATAGGATATATTGCGACAATTATCGAGGAATCAGCCTATTAGACGTCTCAGCAAAAATTTTTGCTTCCCTGCTACTCAACAGACTTATGGAAGTACGAGACAGCAGGATGCGCCCTAATCAAGCTGGTTTCAGACCAGGGCGCGGTTGTACTGACCAGATATTCACGTTAAGAAGGGTGTTGGAACATCGCTTCAAATATTTGCAACGCACTGTCACGTGTTTCATCGACTTTGCGGCTGCCTTTGATTCAATTGATAGAGCGGCGTTTTGGAGGGTGATGGAACGTGATGGTATTTCAGAGAAAATCATTAGACTCATAAAGGCATTATGAGGTCTGTGTATATGGAGAGCTGACAGATTCCTTCGAAATAAGAACAGGTGTCCGTCAGGACTGCGTCCTTTCTCCCACAATATTCAACTATGCGATAGGTTGGAATAATGGACACTGCTTGTCGGCACTCAAGAGGTGTCCGAATTAGTCCAAAGCATCGTATCACAGATCTTGAATACGCTGATTATGTAGTCCTTTTTGCTGACAGTTATAACGAAATGCAAGTAATACTAAATAACATGTCAGAAAGAATCGGACAAGAATCGGGATCTCAGGATCAATGTAAATAAAACGAAAGCCTTTTCGTCTTATGTGCAAGAAGCTGATAAAAAGCCTCTTTTTGTAAATTCATTGCCGGTTGAGGAAATGCCTGATTTCAAATACCTTGGGTCCACTCTAATACCAAATGGACAGGCAAAAGATGATATTATAACTCGGATCACGGCAGCTAGAAATGCGTTCTTCCGGTTGACGAAACCTTTATGGAATCGTCGTGAAATCACCATAAAAACGAAAATCCGCATCTATTGCCGTGATCCGTTCGATCTTATTATATGGTTCTGAGATATGGCCAATGAGAGTGAAGGATATTATCTGCCTTTGACCACTCTTGTCTAAGGTACATATTACGGGTTCGCCGAGTGGATAAAATCTCACTACATCGCATCCACCTTCGTTCAAATATCACTTGCATAAATAATGTTATCACTGAACGTCGCCTTCGCTGGTTAGGGCACATTCTCCGTCGTCCACCACACGAGTTGACGCATATTTCGTTATTTGCTAAACCATGTAACGGTTGGCGTCAAAAGCGAGGTGGGCCAATCAAGACCTGGACTGATACGGTGAGAAAAGATTTTGAACGTATAGGTGGACCAGCGAAGGGCCAGCGATGAGCCTATATGGACTTAGACGATGGAAAAAGGAATGGCTTTCATTACTGTCGACGATGGCATCAGACGCCGCTTGGAAGCGTCTTACCCTTGTAGCCGTTGGAGCCAGCCTAACCAGTAATGGTGAGAGCTGTTAGAAGAAGAAGAAGAAAGTGAATGAATTTTCACCTCGCTTACTATATGTATACCATGATATGATGACTGTAAATTGATACCCTTAAAATAATTTATTCTAAAGAATTTTTCAGTTACATTCACGTATCGTTTTTTTAGTGGCTCAACAGAGGTATCACCTATAGCATTTCCAAAATATTGGTTCGTTCATTCCTTTTATCCCAAATTTATAACAGTTTTAATCTTAGCATGTATAAGGTATAAATTTCGTCCAAAGTTTGGAAAAGATTTTTATCCAACTGAATATTCAAGAGTTTTTCTGGAAGGCAGAAAAGTTATTTGTACAAAGGCATTTGTTAATATTTTTAGTTTGTTTTAGGTCTAATTATAAAGATGCTTATAATTTTCATTGATAAAATTCAAATGAAATAATTCAAGTAAATCTTCGTAATAAAACGCAAAAAATTAAATAACCCAATCATCTGATGGATTTAATTTTCGTAGAACCACTCGTTCTAAATACGCCGTATAAAGAATTGATGGATCATTTGAAAGACAAATTATGGATTCGCACTTGATAATTAAACGGTCACACAACTGAAAATAAATTAATCGATGTTTCAATTATTTTCAATTATTTTTTTCAATTAATTTCGATAATAAATTTCCAACTTATATACAGCTCCAATGATAGTCCTAAACAAGGTAAATTTAAAAATGTAATATTCTGCAATATTAAATTTGAAATCAATTAAACATCCAGCTCCCTTCCTTCTTTTTAAAAATTTGATTAATATGATTGTGGACTTTTTATAAAAAATAAACAAATTTACCTAATATTTTGAACAAAAAAGTATCAATAATACCTCTTTAATTTGTCGAAAATTGAAAAGCAATTGCTTCCGAGGAATACAAACTGATCGTGAAAGTTCCAAAGTAATTCCAACAATATCTGAACGAAATTCGATATATTTTTCTAATCGATCGAATGGACTTCTGAAAAAAAATATCGAATGAATGAAAATCATGAGAAAACCCAAAAGAAATTCAGTGGAAAGTGAAGAAGAGTAAAATATCATAGTAAAATGAAACTTCTTACTATCGTAAAATTGACTATTAATAATTGAAAATTTCAATGCTGAAAATTTTACCTTTACTCTTTTTTCTAAAATTTACTAAAACATCAAAAACTGCCAGAAATTAACTGCCCGTCCGCGATTTACCCGCAATTTATTATAATAAATAAAAGATTTAAAATCTTAATTCGTTTGGTCTGACCAGTTAATCACTTTATCTGATTTTAAAGTATTTAAAGTTATTTTTTAAAGCTTATCTCGATTTACTGCTTCTGATTGATTCTGATGCTTTAATCTAATTTTGAATTTTTTATTTAAATTAAAGTGAAATTCCTTTATAGTTCAATGTTCAAAAGTATCTGAAAGCGAATGGATGCAATAAATCAAAGCAGACAAAAAATAACCTGTCTAACCATCCAAGAAGTCTTTTAATATCTTCAATAACTCGAGAAATTGACATCAAAACTGTACTGAGAACTGCAATGACATTCAATTTATTCAACGCTATTTTACATTTGTCCGCCAATTTTAAGGTATTAGAAAGTTCACGTGAGCTAATAACAATGCGCAAACATAGTGATTGAAGATTCTCACTCTTCATTCCATAACACTGAAATTCTTTTAAACTGCAACAAAGTAATGAAAATGATGAAAATGATGAAAATTTTCAGCATATCTGCAAATGATTTGCAAATGGGAGTAGAATGGCTCAGTGATTTGTTGCTCAATTCGAATGTTGAAATTCTACTCCACACAAGAGAAAACTTGTTCAAAAATACGGGTGATGCTGGCGACCCACTTTTTTTTCTATCACCAAAGGACTCCCTGGCATATCTGTTTAGTGCGCCTAACTAGCAATGGTGAGAGCTCTTTAAAAAAAAATTTGAAAATTTGCAAAAAATTGTCTTTGTGAAATTCAACGATTAATCTTTATTATTGTTAATGATTTTGAAAAAAACGGAACAAAGAAGTTTCAATTTACAGTTTATTAATTTTTTTCCATTAATATAAAAGAAAAATCTGAATAATAATTAATTTCTTCGAAAAAACTTTTCCTTTCGATCGAATTTACTTTTTGAAGGCAAACAATTAAAAGATCAAATTTATATCAGAAATTCTTTTATTTATTTAAAGTATTTATTTATTTATTTTATAAATTATTTATTTTAAACAAACGAATTTTCAATTTATTATACTTAATTTATTTTAAAAAAATATTTGAACCGAAAATCAATCTAAAAAAAGTTACAAGATGTCGAAGAAGACCGACTGCTTGCAGCAAAATATGTCGAACTCCAAATATTGAAATGCCGATTTGTTGAAGAAACTCATCATCGATAACAAAGAGTGATCGACCATCAATTTTACTCTGAGCAATATTACTGAGAAAAGGACGAATGCTCGCATCGATACCTACAAAACCAAATTTCAGAAAAGATGACGTAATAAAAGATTTTTTCCACTTAATAGGAATATATAAGCTAATCAAAATTAGCTGATTAGATGATCGCAGCCAATTCAGTATTACAAATTTTAACAACAAATATTACAAATTTCCAATTTAAAAGTTCGCAAATAAATTCCTTCAAATTTAGTAAATCGATCGAAATTAATCGAAAGATTGCAGAGCATTCTATTTAAAAGCGGGGATAAATTACTCAATAGATTAAACGAATATTTTATATACACTTGGATAGCAATAAAGTTCAGAATTATAATTTTCAAACGAAATAGTAATGTTGAAAATCTTGAATTATTGAATTTTTGTCAAATTGATTAGACTGCTTCATTCATTTATTTGTCCATCGATATAATTTATTTTTAAAAGAAAATTAAATGACACAATTCATAATTTAACGACATCAAAATTTCTGTATAATTGTTTTAAATAATGCAAGCACATAGGATAGATTTCTAGTTTCTCAACAAGAATGAAGACGGCATTAGAAGTGGGATCCGCATTTGCTTCTATCCACAAGTGATTCTGTGCCTCATCCAAGTAATCAGTGCAGCTAATCAAAACGGAATTTTCTATTGGAAGAAAGAAAATAATTATAAAATAATAATTATAAAATAATTAAATAATTAATAAAGAAAATAATCACTATGATTCCAAATTCTTTTCCTCTAATAGCACCATTAAAAGTTAACAAGAGATTATACGATGTTTCCAAGCTGTTCCAAGTCAATCCGATTCTACAGCTGAGAAAAATATAAAAAATAGATCTAAATAGGGGGAAGAATAAGCACATCTGCCACGCAACCCTTTTTTTATTTTATTCACTATCTTTGTGAGACGTGAGAATACTCAAATCGTAGGCAATTAAGAATGAACCGAAAAAAAGAACAAAACAAAACATAATTTAAAAAAAGTAAAACAGACAATATGTTCGCATTAATTCAATTGGACTGAATAAAAATAAAATAAAAAATCAAAAATACTTCTTGGATACATAATTTGCTTGCTAGATGTGGCGCGCTTACCAGATAAATTATTTCGAAACTGAGGTGAATTCCTTCTCGGAGATTAGTTATAAGTGCATTAAGTGTGTCAAAAGTTGCAACCATTTTTAACAACAAATCGCATTCAGGCGGAAAGGTCTGCAGAATGGTTAAGGCTGCCGTTACAACTTCAGTGCTTCCACACATCATAGACATCGCACCCACTGTGACAGAGTTAATAGAACTGACCATGCTGGTTTGTTCATTCCACTGATAACCATGTTTTTATTGGTTATATGGAATATTATATGTCCTACGGTCAACAAGATGTGGAAGGGATATAGCACTATAGCTTCCGGATATACCTAAAAGATATGTTCGCGCTCAACCTCTTGAACCCATTTTACCCATGTCTGAATGAATGTGTTTGTATTTACGAATTTCCTACAGTGGGTTCAGAACAAATCCTTTTTCTCATTTTACGAATTATTTATCCAATATCAAGTACAGTTTTGTTTTTCCAAAGGAATTGAGCGATACTGCAATTAATTTGTAGACTATCTCCAACAAAGGCTAATTGTTTTAATAAGGATTTCTAGGAGCTTCAACCTGAAACTAAAGTAGCCTTGACTGGAGAAAGTCTAAATTTAGAAATAAGGTGGACTGTGGAAGAGGTATCAGAAGTACATACCAAATATATTACAACAATATACAGCATAAATCCGTAAAGCATTGTAGTTAAATAGTATTGTCGACATTGATATAAGGAAATCGGTTTAATCGAATCATACATGATCATACATGGTGTCTAGAAGTCCATTCTGAATGGATGTCAGATTGTAATATTCGGCCTCATTCATGTTCCATAGGTAATGAAAGAACAATTTGAATGGTAGAATAATAAGAAACAGAATATAGACAGATTTTATGCCGGATGGATTATAAATCGCTGCTATAAACTGTAAACTTTTTTTCTTTGAATTCAACATCAATTGATGGATGGATATTTCAAATGAAATGAAGGAATCATTACTAAGGCTCGCTGGTGCTCTCAAAAGATAAGTTGCCTTGTTTATACATGATTCAATTGGTGTTTTATTTATTTCGCTATTTATGATGAACATAATAATTCCCAACTAATTGACTGAAAATTGCTTTAAATTGTTTGTACGATTCGATTTTTTAAGCAACCATTTATCAACATATAGATAACTAATTCATTACCGACTGATTCTCGATGAAATTTAACGCGCCACCGCCTATGATGACTTTAAATCATGACTTTAAAAAGAAATGGGCTGCAACTGAGTCCAAACGAAATTCGAGTAAAGCGACAGATGACGATATTATCTCCTGGTGTTTTTCAGCTACTAGCAATTTTTCTTTGGTTTTCATTGAGAATAACTAAATATGGTATGGACCTTTATAAAAATGACCTTTTCTTCAGCTTGGCTGAGGCATCAAAAACACACTTTTCACACTTCACACATTCGATTCACACTTTTGTATCCCGTTTAAGTTTTATTAGTGGGAAATTGTTTTATTATTAGAGAACCAGGCATAACAACTGCTCGAGGTCGGAAATGACAAAGATAAACCACAAAGACGAAACAAGATATGTTCGTACGATATTTGGGCAGAATTAGACGATGATCGCCTGATTCCAGAATCCATTAGTTCATCAGCGCACTGAAGTTCCAAATTATCATGGTTAAGACCTTGCAAAGTACCATATGTGCAAAGTCTACAAGTAGTTGTTGATTTCTCTTAAATAGATTTCGATCAGCTATTAAAGCTCGAGATATCGCTTTATTGCGGAACCTTGCGTGAACGCCGTCAATATAATCAGACCCTTTCGAAATAGTTTTTTCAATTAAATGGTTTTTACGTAGTTTTAAAATTATTACTTAATTAACTATTACAAACACTAACTATAAAAGGATCATCGACAAAACCGTGCTGTTGTAAGCTTTATTAATCTAGAACATTGCATTTAAAAATTATATCAATATGCAGAGTGACTGGGCAGAATCGAGGAAATATTTTTTAACTCATCCTAAAAATTGCTGCCGTTTTATAAGGTTTACTTTGTAAAATTGTAAAATCCTCATTGAATGAAGGTAAAGTATAGATGCAGAGGATTCTAGTGCTTCAATGACTTTTTTCTGTCACACAGAGTATATTTTCATCGCATGTAAAAATTCTTTCCAGAAAAAAATCGTTTCTGTGACTACACTGCTCCAAATATTTTTTTAATATTCAATCAATTCGTGGCCCATTTTTTACTTCCCCTTCTTTTTCATCTTCCTCATTTCATGTAGATGATCGGTATTATCTGAAACATCACACTCCCATGCTAACTCTGTACAGCACCAATTTCTTCACGGATACATTTACAAATTGATAGCCGACCATTATGTAAGGCGTATTCGCGATTGGTTTCTCAGAGGTTGAATTTCATTATTCCTATTATTTTTTATTTAGGTGCACCGTTGCCAAAAACTATTTGCACATCGCCTCTATACCTCGATGGTGCAGTTAAAAATCATGAATGGCACAGCTCGCCAGATTACGCCGTTTCACGCTAAATCTGATCAATCAGTCAAACTGTCCAAAAAAATTTAAATCACCTGCTTTTACAACGAAAAAGCTAGGGGTCACGGCGAGCGGAAGATGTTGGTTGCAACGTGGCAATAAAAAGCAATAAAAGTTCCCACCCCGAATCCAACACCAAAAAAAGGGCGAAAACCTTTTAGGACATTTTTCGCTTAATAATTTCATAACAGATTCCGATTAATTTTTACTAATCATTTAATAATAATTATAAACCTGCAATTGAAAATTTAAAAAAATCAGCAAATTGACCTTTGAACCAATGCAAAATCTGTTCATTCGTCCAATTTTCAACAATTTGAGCGATTGACATGAAAAATAGCGACTCAGGCCGATTGTTAGCACTCATCCATACCCACATTAAAAAATACTTTGAGATATAAAGCTGCAACCGCTCCGCGTGGGCTGCTCGTTTCACCATTTAGCCACACCCTCACAATTTGTTCTATACATTCGACTGACCTTAATACGACACTAGTGTTGTTTGTGATGAAGAGAAGAGGAGATGAGGAAATATGTCCTGGAAGTGGAAGAGAGTGGCGAATATACCGAAGTTTGGTAGTTGAAAAGCTGCGAAAGAAGAGAAAAGAGGATAGGATCAGATGGTAGATGAGGAAGAGAAAGTTGAGAAGGAGGAAAAGGGCATAAAAATTGGAGAGGAAATAAAAAAGCAATTGGCCGAAACCAAGTTATAAATTTCTTATGAAACGAAATTTGATGAAGATATGTTACGGCGTGAAGTATGGGCTAAAGATGTGTTAGGGAAATTCCATTAAAAAAGTTGGTTTTGAGGTTCTATCTCAAACTCCGTTGTACGATGCGCCCACCTTACTATTCGATGATCGCATACGTGAAGTCTAGCTTTTAATGCTTTGCAAATAAATCACCTACTAAGACCTGTTGCCCTGTATGAAAATTTCATGTTGAACTGTTTGTTGACTGAACTGTTTGCCGAAGGAAAGATGGCCTGCTCTACTTCTTCCTTCGTTCGAAAATCCACTCATCCCATTATATTTTCATATTTCTCCCTTGTTCCTTAATACTTCCCAAAGACCTACCCACATCTTTATCACCCATCTAAGTTATCTTTCCAAAAATTTTTCAAAAAATTGTCGTTGAGCAGTTGGTTCATTTATTTGCTCTGATCCAAATCGGTTGTTTCTAAGCTATTATTGTGAAGTTTTTTTTTAATTCTTTCTCGAAATCTCCTTTTCAAACGAGCTAAGTTTTTTTTCTTCGTTTCTTTTTTTTTCTCTTTTCCTAAATTCAAATAGAATTTTAAATAAAATATTTATAAAACTTATAATATAATATTACGAAATAAATTATCTCATAAAATAATTAGGTCTATCTTCGGAAGGAGTCATGTCAAAAATCTGAATGGTTGCTGGGGACCTAGCTGCACCTCTATCCTCAAGTGACTCTGTGGTGAAAGGGTCAGATATTTTAATACGGCGTCCGCGTCTCCCGATCTCCCAGCCCGATGGTACATGCGATTAGTGCATAATCCGGGCTGATAAATAAAATGTGCTCGCAAGCCATGGTAATTGCTCGAAACCCATCAAGGGGAACACCTCTCTGCACGCGTGACGAAGGCCGTATCAGCGTGGAATATCAGAATGCTTATGGACGTTGCAAGTCAAGCGAGTACTGTCCACACTCTTTCTAAATATCGTGTAGATATTGCCTGTCGGAGGTTCGTCTTCCTTATTTCGGGTCTCGAGAAATTATTAATCCTGGTTCAGGACAGAGATACTGGCTATATCACTGTTTCGGATGCTCCGGATAACTCAGGGCGAAATGGCATAGCGATTGTCAAATCTGACAAAGCCCATTGCGCTTTGACTGATTGGAAACCGGTAAGCGATCGTATGGGCTATGCCCGTTTTAAGAGCAAGTTCTGCAATATTTCGGTCATCAGTGTCTATGCTCCAGCTCTGTCGGCAAATTACCGTGATAAAGATAAGTTCTATGCGAACCTTCAACTGCTAACGAAGTCTCTACCAAAACATGACTTGGTCATAGTCAGGGGAGAATGGAATGCGCGCGTAGATCATAATGCCTCTGCGATGACCTGTACAATTGGCAAATATGGCATTGGAGACCGGTGCGCCAATGGGGTATGCCTTCTTCGTTATTCCGAAGAGCATGAACTTTTTATTACTAATACTTGCTTTCGGCATCGTAGGAGACATCTAGTCACGTGGAACTCCTCGGATAACCAATACTTCAAGTAGATTAATTATATCTTAGTCAGTCGCCGTTAGAAGAATTTTGAAACCAGATAGTCGTTCTTACTGCAGCGTTGAAACGGGCAATCTTCATGGATCTGACCATGTTATGGTTCGAGCCAAGATTCGCAAAAACTGACAACAACTCGCAGAAAGCATCCCTCAAGATCCTTAAATTATCTCAAACTAAATCACTTTTTTCACTTATTTCGGAGACAATGAGCGCATTTCAAATTGAATTATTGAAGCATCATAGTGATACAAATATCACTGACTTTTCTGGAACGGCAAATGAATTCTGGTGCAAACTAAAGGAATGTCTTCGAAAGTCAGCCACTTCTTCGCTAAGACATACTAGTAGGAGGTGTGCTAGTTGGGTATCGGAAGTAACTGTCCAACTGTCTGAAAAAACTGCCAAAGCATGAATGTCAGGTGATCTTGATTAAACATCGAATCGCATCGAAGATTTGCAACTAAAGCAGCATGGCGTGGCAGAAATCACTATTGGGGTGACATGGCTTCAAGAATGGAGACGACGACTCGATTAGGATAGTAAGAAACTATTCAACCTTTTTCATAAAGCAACTATAATACGAGAAACGATCAGTGAAATGGTAACAGCAATGGCGTGCCAGTCAAGAACCGACCGCATCATAAGATGGAAAGAATTCTATTTTATTGAAATTTACCATGAAGCGCCATCTGTTGCCCCTAATATAACTGATACGTTCGCTGAACCATTTGCTTGCAATTGCGAGCCCTCGACAGAAGAAGAAATAATATATTATCTATAAGCTTAAGACCAATAAGACTCCGGAAAAAGATGGTCTTCGGGCTGAACTCTTTAAATGTTGTCAATCGTCCCTCTAACACACCTTCAATAAATGTACTCTCTTGTATGGCAAAAAGAAATAATACCAGAAAATTGGAGCAAAGCAATTCCAATTCTCAAGATAGATAATAGGACATACTGCGACAATTATCGAGGAATCAGCCTACTAGAAGTCTCAAAGAAAATTTTTGCTTCCCTTTTACTCAACAGACTTATGGAAGTACGAGACAGCAGGAAGAGCTCTAATCAAGCTGGATTCAGACCGGGTCGCGGTTGTGCTGACCAGATATTCCCGTAAGAAGGGTGTTGGAACATCGCTTTAGATATTTATAGCCCACTGTCACCGATGTTTTATCGATTTTGCGGCTACCTTTGATTCGCTTGATAGAACAGCGCTCTGGAAAGTGATGGAAAGCGACGGTGTTCCAGAAAAGATCATAAAGGCATTTTATCAGCGTATATATATGGGGAACTAATAGAACCCTTCGAAATAAGAACTGGTGTCCGTCAAGGTTATGTCCGTCAAGGTCCGGCAAGGTCCTTTTCCCTACAATATTCAACTATTCGATAGACTGGGTAATGGCTTGTCGGCAGTCAAAGGGTGTTCAAATCAGTCCAGAGCATCTTGAATACGCTGATAATGTCCTTTTTGTTGATAGTTATAACGAAATGCAAATAATGCTGAATAACATATCAACAAGTGCAACGAGAATCGGATCAATGTAAGTAAAAAGCTTTTTTATCTTATATGCAAGGAGCTGGTAAAATACCTCTTTATATAAATTCATTGCTGGTTGAGGAAGTGCCCGATTTTAATTACCTTGGGTCTATTCTAATAACAAACTGCCAGGCAAAAGATGATATTACAACCATGATCTAGAAATGTGTTCATCCAGTTGACGAAATCTTTATGGAGCCGTCGTGACATTACCATTAAAACGAAAGTACGCATCTATATAGTCGTGATTCGTTCGATCTTACTATATGGCTCTGAGACATGGCCAGTGAGAGTGGAGGATATTAAGAAGTTACCTCTGATCACTCTTGTCTAAGGTACATTTTATGGGTCCGTCGAGTGAATAAAGCATTACATGATCGCATTTATCTTCGTTCAAATACCACTTGCATAAATAATGTTATCACTGAACATCGCCTTCGATGGTTAGGTCACTCTCACCGTCGTCCACCACAAGAATTGTCGTATATTTCGTTATTTGCTGTGTCGTATATTTTGTCGTATAATATGTCGTATATTTGCTAAACCGTGTGATGGATGGCGTCAAAAACGAGATGGGCCAGTCAAGACCTGGAGAAAGACCTGGACTGACACAGTCAGGTCAGGAAAATGGGAACCTAACACTTTTTTGCTTGAGGGGATATATTGCTCTATAAGATATAAAATGGTGCTAATTAAGACTGTATTGCACATGATTATATTCACCTTCGCTCAAATACCACCTGCATTAATAATCACAGAGCGTTACCTTCGCTGGTTAGGGCAGTTAGGGCACGTTCTCCATCATCTACCACAGGAGTTGATGCATATTTTGTTATTTGCTAAATCCTGTGATGGTTGGTTGGCGTCAAAAGCTAGGAGGACCACTCAAGGCCTGGACTGATACGGTCAGGAAAGATTTTGAACTTATAGGTGGACCAGCAATATATGGACTTAGATGATGGAAAAAGTAATAGCTTCTGTCGACGATGGCATTAGACCGCGCCGTTTGGAAGCGTCTTACCCTTTAGCCGTTGGATCCAGCCTAACCAGTAATGGTATGAAAGCTATTGGAAGAAGAAATTCTTTCCTTAGTAATTCACTTCACGAAACCGATATTTTTTTATACCCGCCTTGTTGCATTTTACAATTATTTATTTATTTGCATGTTTTGTTAATTTTTTGAATTTTTTTTGTCAACTATTAATCTCAGAATTTCGCAAGAATCAATCCTCGCTATTAAAGTAACTGAAAGTAAATTTATAAAAAATCGGTAAATTTTTGTTTTTTCCATCCATTTTAATAAGCAGATAAAATCATTAGAAATCCTTTTTTTGCTCCATTCGACATGATAGTTTATCGAAGTTATTTTGAAAATTTTTCGGCGATGTCGAGGAGAAATATATATCGCAACGATGATGTGGTTATGTATTATACTCGTAATTTTATAAAATATGCTTTAATGAAAGAATGTATAGATCTAGGTCTCTAGGTCTGTATCTACGTCTAGGTTTCGATGAATTACGTCGTTAGCATCGTAATTTATCGAAATTCGCTTGCATTTATCGAAAGCATCAATGAGTTTTTACGGCAAAAACATTTCTTCAGTTATTTGGTATATTCGATCGCAAAGAAATTTTTAAATAAAATTTATATCGAAAACCTTATTAGAAAGTGCTAAAAAAATTGGAAGATAGAATAACTTGCGAAGTATTAAATTCTTAAACAGTTAGTTCTTAAATGGAGAAAACATAGTCTAACGACACACAGACAAGTAATGTACTTCGGGCACAATAACTTAATCTGTCGTTGAAACCAAATCTTGTTTTTTCTAGCCAATTTAGTTTCGGTGCCTCTTTGCAAATGCTCCTCCAATCATAAGTTTTTTAATTCTGAATTTCCCTATTAGCGCAACTTCTTTAATATTCGATCACATGGTGAACGAATTAAAACTTTTATTCTAAAAAAATCACAAATCGTTTCGTACAATTTATTTATTTTATAACTTATTTAAATTATTGCTAATTAATCAAATTCTTTTCAGCAAAATTTCTCGTGAAGTATTCGAAAAAACTAAAAATTCGAAAAAAGATTAAATAAAAATTTTATTTTTTGATATTTTCTTATTTGATTTTTATAAAATATTTATACAAATTGAGAGAGATCGTTTTCACGTTGATTCAATGTCTTCTTCAGCGTATTTCTTGATTATTTGTTCTTCACGAAGTTTAACTACTTGCATAAAATTATTAACCTAAAACAAATTTTTATCATCAAATTATCAACTAATCATATTGAATTTTTGCCTACCGTACCTGAAACACCACGTTATCATCATGAGTGGATAGTTCAGATCGTTATGTTGACAGACAAAGATTCGTTTGTTTCTTCTAACAAGACCTGTCATTAAAAAATTTGGGTGATGCTCGCGATACACCCATATTTCTATCGCCAAATAACTGATAGAAATCTCTAAATGTATTAACAGCTAGTCTAATCAGAAATAGTGAAAGATAATATTTATTATTACATGATTTAAAAGCCAAATTCCCATTTTTTTTTTTGTTTTTGGTTCACAGAATGGGAGGAAAGAAGACTTATTTTTACTTATTTTTATTCCCTTCTATTACTTAATTTATTCATTTTATTCATTTAAAATCTTTAAAATCCTTATGTAAAATCTTATAAAAAAGAACAAACCATAATTGTAATAGGTAATGCAAGAACCATAACTCCACAAACAATAGCACCACTACCGACAAGTTTACCGGCTAAAAAATTTATTTGAAAGTAATAAACAAATTAATAAAAATTGCTGTAAAATAGATTTTCGAAAAATTCAGTGAAGTTCTCAAGTCATATATTTTGTCATATATTTAGCATTTTTGAGAACCGAGGAATTTTAAAACATGGAACTTGAGATACCTTTCGTCTTATTCATCAGAAGCTGATAAATACCTATCAGTTTATCACTCGTTGAAAAAGTGGCGGACTTTAAATATCTTGGATCATTTTATACCAAATTGCCAAGTGAAAGGCGAAATTTCAACTCGAATAAAAGTAATTCGAAATCTTTCGTCTGCAGGATCACCGTAAAATCTATCGGAATGTTCTGCGTACAATTATGTTGCTGTACTGCGTACAATTCTGTTATATACCACGGCAAATGGGAGTAGAAGATATTAAGAGACTATCTATCTATCTTCGAAACTTTACCTCGCAATGCAAATAAAATAATGCAAATAAATGCAAATACTCTCACATGAGTGCAATCGAGATCTATACTGATATAACAGAAGAAAACCTATGGCCGAGCCAGCGATATATGGTTTAGGCGGTGGAAGAAAGAGTGGCCTCTTTTAATCTTAGGCACTGCATTGGATTGAGTAGAACCAGTAATGGTACGAGTTATTAAAAGAAGAAAAATTTAATTAATCAATTCAGATTTATTAATTAGACATTTATTTACTTACGAATAGTTTGTGGTACACTATCACCGTAGCCAACAGTCGACATTGTCACAACCGCCCTGAAATTTTATTGCTCCTGTAAAAAACAATAAAAACAGAAAAATAAAAATAGCGTTAAAGAAAATATCTGGTCCATAAAAAGGAAAATTTTCCCTTCGTTACCATTATTAGGTAAAGATATATTTGAATTGCGTATTGCCAGTAAGATTACAAGAAAAGGAGTGAAAACGGATACCACCAAAACGCTGCTGGAATCGATGTAAAAGTTGTATTCACTTCATCTTTCTCCAGAAAATATAGAAGTGTTGAAAAGAAAATGATTACAGTTATCATTACAATAGCAACCATTTGCATCTGGTTCTTACTTTTCCTTAATGTTAAAGCAAAATTCGCAAGACCTATAAAAAAAAATTTGTAAATTAAGGAGGAACTACATCGAGTTGCTCTGTACAAATCTTTTTCAATGTTGAGGTATAATTTTCTAATAGTTAGCACCTAGAAGAATTAGCTAGCTAATAATCTTTTCACCAAAGTCATTTGGAGATAGGACAGATGGTTAAAAGTTTCTCTTGGGATTGCAAGATGCTCGAGCACTTTAGGGAAAAAAGCTATTCAGTTGTTGTTTAATTGTTAAATTATTGTTGCGTACGTATTCAGCATATTCTTTAAGCATAGATTTCCCTTTTCTCGTTCATTTTGTCAAAAATTAATAATTTATAAAGAATATTGAAAAATAAAAAGCATAAAAGAATAAAATTTAATGAACCTGGTGAAAAGCGGCCAAGTTTAGCTATCCTGACCACCCTGAGAACCCGCAATAAACGGACTGTTAAAAAAGCCCAACGCACTTTCCGTACATTATGTCCGCCAATACCTATCTCAAATCTACCGTTGAGGAGATCATAGAAGAATAGTAAATAATCGTTTGTAAATGAATCAGTTGAAATAAAAAAAGAACTAGGAGAAATTCGATATGGATGGCTCGAAACTACAATTTACAAATAGCGATTTAGCGATCTTGTGTGGGCGATACCATTTAAAAATAGCTTAAGGAAATCACTTTTCAATAGAGCGATAAAAAAATTTGACGTTTCATTAAAGATTTTAAAAAGGTTTTTCTCTTATTTTAATTTTCATAATCAACTGAAATGAACAGAAAAATGCTAATGCAATGCAAATATTCAAAAATAAAGTTGCATCATCATAGAAGTTTAATCTGAATTATAAGATACATAGCAGTATGAATTTGGTTCTAGGATCGCTCATAATTATTGTATGATAAAATATTAAGCACAAATACATTTACGTTAATTCCAACATCGTCATGCACGTTTCGCTTGTTTCGTAATCGGTGTAACGCAGCAAATCAGCAAATTCTTTGCGAAATCAAAATTTGAGAAAACAATAAATTTGCGTTATCTTGGCTGATTAATTGAATAAAAAATACTTACCAGTAATAAAAGAAGTTCAAATATGAAAGGTAAAACGGCAAGAAGGTCAATTATGTTCAGAAAAGTTCTTGCAAAAATCAGTTTTTGTGGAGCAACGAGAAATCTGATTAAATATTCCAATAAGAAATATATCTGAAAGTGGATTCGAAACTGAATTTGTGAGTGTCATTCGAAAAATTTAAATCGAAAGATGGCTTTTTTCTAATTGCTTATAAAATTCTGTCTTCAGCAGTCTTTGAAATTTTTTTCCTCAAAATCTGTATCTGTTGCAATTTTCTCTTCTTCGAAAGCAACTTACCAAGGCTTAGCTGGCTCGTTTGGCTATTAAAGAACTGACAGTTCGTGTCTAGTTCGACAAGATTTCATTTTAAATATATTCGCATCAAGAAAAACACGAAGCTTGGCTCTTAGTGGAGGCAACAAATTATTGCACCATCTTCCTGCCATATTGTAATCACAAAACTCGATTGATAAAAATTCTAACCACACAAATATTTTCGATATAAGTAAAGACAGGATGTTCAACCATCTCGACAGGAACATCTATTGAGTACTTAAATACTTTTGTTGAGCTTATTGTTTGTCCATTAGAATTCGGATAAGTTGGATAAGTTGCTGGTGCTCTAAAAAAATATATAACCAATAAATATATATTCGAAAATAAAAATTATTAACCTCTCTATTTGTTTTGTAAATTGAAAACTTTCATTTCATTGCTTCAAACGACTGGAACGATTGCCCAATTATTTTGTGCTTCGAAAAGAAAATTTATAAATTTTACAATAAAATTTTCGGAGAGAATAAAGGAAATTTCTCTTTGGAATAAATGCACTCTATATGCATATATTGCAAAAAAATTCCAAAATATTTTTATCCAAATATTTTTATTCAAAATATTCCAAAACAAATAATTTTATTCGACGAATTTGATGAACGGCTTTACATTAAGTGTCGCTTATTTTATTCTCACTAATAAAAATTAGACATGGCTTAAAAGTGGAATTGTATCGGCGATTATTAGCGCATGGGCACAGGCCTGTTCTTGGTCTGCTTGAGCTTCTTTGTCTAAATAAATAAACATACATCGAATGTGCAGCAACAGCAATTTCAGGCACTTGAAAATCCGGTATCGAGCCGAGAATAAGAGCGGCAATTGATAATACAACAAATGAGGTTGAAGTAATTTCAAATGTTTTCCACCACCTTAAATCATTGATTCAATTATTTCTATTTGAAATTTGAAAATATTTGCTTAATTTTAAAAAACGATGAAATAAAACGGAGCAAAACGAATTGCTGTAATGCCATAATGCAATACAATGGATTAGAATTAACGAGTCAAAAAATTCGTTTTTTCCTAACTCTCTTCGGCATTTCTTTCTTCTCGTTGATGCAGTTATTTGCATTTTTATTAATTAATTCGTTCATAACTGTTTGCATGTTTGTAGTGGATCCAAAGAAATTTTAAAAAATTAGAAAAAGAGCGATTTTAAGCTTTGATAAATAATTAGTTTGTAGTGAACTAAATAGTAATCTCATTTTTTATTATATTGGTAGTTGATGTATCAGATACTAAATAATAATTAAATGCAAGAGATACTTCGAAGATTCATGTCCCTCAAGAACATTCCACAGTTTCCTTCGCAAATTAGCGCAATACAAACCAATAAACAGGTCTTTCTCCTTTAAATTTCAAAAGTTTCAATTGATTTTTGTTATTTTATAACAACAAATGTTGGATGTTATAAAATCAACAGCCCGAGATTCACTCTTTCCATGGACAACTTGAAATCCTTAGATTACTTGTAATGAGTACTCAGTGAATAAATGACAGGAATAGCAAATTTAAGTGCTTTCTTTATTTTTATTATTTATTTTCTTAATTAATGTTGAGCAATGTTAAACTTAAACTTCAATCAGTGTAAAATTACGAGAGCATTTGCCATTGGCAAAAGGCAATACTGATTAAACGGTGAACAGCAATTACTAATTTTCGACTTTGATATGGACCAAAATTTAAGTTCAGCCATATATTTGTCGAAACAGAATTCTTTTGGCACATGAACTCGTCCTGTTGCATAGAAATCGTATATTGATTCAAAATATCTGGAATAGAAGGGTTAAATAAAGCCAAAGAATTACATAAATAGATAATTTTTTTATTCTGCAGAATTTTCATTCTTCAATAAAAATTATAGTGAAATTATGTCGCAAATTAAAATTGAATACAGCAGTCTTAAATTTTGCAAAATATAAATTATAAAAATGCACTTTTAGAAAAAGTATTACGACTTTTTATTCAATTTATCCAATTTTTAAAAAATTTAAATTTTTAAATTCATCGGCGTTTCCTCAGAATATCTCGAATTGAATGATTTTTGAGCATTTCTATATTGTAAATTTTTTTCCAAATTTTTTTCTATCAAATTGATAACGATATTTATTAGGAAAACAGTTAACTTCAACAAAATTCAATTTTCAAATAATAAAAATCCCAAAAACCAAAAATCGGCGTAATCTTAAAATGTTCCATAATATTTGAACTGCGCTACTTATGCTTACATAAAAAAAATCAGTTCCAAATTTTGTTTTTATGTTTTTAGAAATATCAAGAAAAAAAATAATTAACCTAGGTGCTCGTTCAAAAAAATATTCTTGACTATCTTCGAAATAAGAATCGGCCCATTTAAGTCGTTTTTCATGGCTTAAGCTTAAAAACTTTCCTAAGAAAGTAGATGGACCGTGTTTTAATATGGACTTCGCTCGAATCCTATAGCTCGATCCGCCTATATTTAAACGCATAATGGCGTTCTGCAAAATCGTTTCAAAAATTTAAGAGGACAAGAAATTCGATGGATCATGCGCAATTCGCCACTTTTTAAAATTTTATTCATTTAGGAATTCGTTCATATTTATTATCTTTTAAATTTTAAATTTTATTCTTCAGATTTTTAATACCAAATTAATATTTGTATAATTTATAAGGAATAAAGAAAAAGAAAAAAATTTCATATTGCAAATTAGTATTACTACTATGCATTCGATATATTCCCTGATTTTAGTATTTAATTTTATTTTAAATTTTTTTTTGCTAGAAACCAAAATTCCTTTGCACCTCGACGTTAATATTGTCGGTTATTTCCATGGAATCGCGCTCTCGATCAAATGAATTCTTCTCAACCCAAAGGCGATGGCTTTCTGTTCTCGATTTTTGGTCCTTATACCTGAAATTTGCTTGAATCATATCAACTTTCTTTTCTCAATTTGTCTGCAGGATTTTCGATTTTTTTAAATGAACCGTTGACAATTTTTTTTTTTTTTGTCGAAGGCCTTTTTTACTTGCTTGGTTTACTTTTTTACTTGGTTTCCCTATCAATTTCTCGCCTGCATTTCAAATTATTTTATATTTTGGGAAATATCAAATTTTCAACAAATATATCTTAGATGCTTCAGTATAAGGATTAAAAATTTAAAATTTAAATTTTGAAAAAACAACGTTGAAATCAAATCAACTATGGAGAAAAAGGCTTTCTACCGTCTTATTATTCTCATTAGTTAAGATGCAAACTCGAAAACTTTGAATAAGAATAACATATAACGAGTCATCTGTAAAAATGTTAATAACCTGCGATGGTAACCTGCAATACTTCGACGTTCACCATATGATGCATCGTCACGCATTGCTGCAATAGCAGTCCCACCAGCCATTTGACTGAAATCATTTGATATTATACTTTAAAGATTTGAATAGTTTTCTACACTGATATGATTGTAAAAAAAAATTTTAAAGATTTAAAGATCGTAAATCTCTCAAGTTGAATGGTTTTTCTAATAAAATTCGCTAACATATTTATATATTTATAGTATTATTAATTTAAGCATAAAAATTATGCGAAATTACATCTAAACAGTATAATAAATCTGTAGAAATCAATAATTCTTTGTAGATAGCCATTAGGCAGGATGGCTCAATGATTGTTGTTCAAATTGTTATCATCATCAAAGCTCGAACTGTAATTAAGAAACCCGAATGGCTTGAGCAGTTATCCCAAGTTACACAAGTTAAACTAAAAAATTACCAGCAAAATGACAATCAAGACGTTTATTATGTAATAAAAATAGGATAAAAAGCTAAATCAAACAAAGAAAGCTAAAAAATGAAGATAAATCACAATTGCTGGAAATTTGAGATTTTTATCAAAATAATATTTCATCAAACAAAAGATTTTGAACGTATGGGTGGGCTAGCAATATATGTACTTAGACAATGGAAAAAGGAACGGCTTCTATTACTGTCGACAATGGCATCAGACTTCGCAGCTTGGAAGCGTTTTACCTTTGTAGCCGTTGGAGCCAGTCTAACCAATAATGGTGAGAGCTGTTAGAAGAAGAATGTTTCATTGAGCATGATGAAACAAATTAATTAGCGAATGAATATTTGTCTTGCTATATACCTTATGTACGAAAAAAGTGTGCTTGCGACAGTGAATAAAAATATTTGCAGCGAAAATGCGATCTTTCTATTATTTTAAATTTTTTATTTCAAAATATTGAACCCGACCCACCAAATAAAGCCTTCCATTTATTTATTAATTCCTTATGTCAATAAAGAATAGTAAGGATAACCTTTTCAAGAAAATTATTCCTTTGGTGCCATCGAGGGACCCGAGCGGTTGTTTTTCGTACACTATATATTAATCGGTTTGATTACTCAAGTTTGAGGTAACGAATAAAGATTTTTATTAAAACGAGCAGTGACCAATGTTTATTCTACTGTCCTAAGAAAGCAGTCGGATCAAAATTATTCTAATATAACTAACGCGTGGCAGGCGAGCATACCACTGCTTCCAATCAATAAATATATATTTATTTTTTACAATATTTATCGAAAATTACAATTTACGAATTAATTATTTAACAGATTCGAAATAAACAGTGAATGTGCTTGAGGAGACAATTTTTTAAATAATTTTCAAAAAAACGAATATTGGCGAAGAAGAGTGGTTCGTTCCTCCAAAAAGTCATGATTTCAGTCGATAAAAAATTATATAAAAATTAGTTAATTTAATTTTAACCAACAGAAAATTTTTTCGCACAGTTATTTTTTTGGTATGACGATTTTGCACGATTTACATATTGAATAATTAACTGCTTACAATGTGAATTTGTTCAAGAAATGTTTCCCTTTTTTTTAAGAATTTTTAAAATGTTTCATGAAATCTTTTTTTATAAATTCTTACTGTATTATTTTTTTTCATTTTTATTTTCAGTTATTTTCTCATAAAATTTTGCGATGCCTTAAATTCTCATAAAATTTTCAAATTTTAAGCTTTTTATTTTTAAAGAATGTAAAGAAATAGTAATATGCAACTTTAATATCTAATAGGCTTCGATAGTTATCACAACATTTCCTATCACCCTTCATAGGGGCTGCGAATACAGGGGAAATACAGGGGAGAGAGAGAAATGAGAGAGTGTTTTGCTCCAGTCATCTGATATTGGCTATTTCTATCATGCTTAACTCTATTAATTAATCCTTGAAGATGAGTTGTAAAGAATGTTGGACTTGAAGACCTGAAGATCGCGTTCTCGGGTCTTGAGCTTTTTTTCCTTAAATTCTTGAATTTTTGCATTCTTCTGTTGGCGGTTTGCTATTACGAACATGTCGCTCAGGGAGCGTTTACATTATGTACGGGACGATAGATGAAGCAACATGGCTAAGCGCGGCCTCAAAAAATTTTATCTATCGTACCAGGCGATCTCTGATAACCTTAATAGGCATATTAATGTTATTCTGGGTCATTTCACTGATGGGTGCTTTATAAAGAAAGGAAAATTATCCCATTCGAGCAGCCGTCGTCATATGGGCCATAGCATTGTTGCAATAATTCAGCCTGAAATTCGCCTGTTCCCAAGCCTTTTAACTTAAGTAGTTCCAGATTTTAACCAGATTTTTTTGCAATTAGCAATTTCATGCAAATCTTGATTCGAACCAATTAACATAATTTGGTCCGTGAAGATTGCCAGTTTCAGCGTGACGATACGAATGTATCTAGTATAGAATTCTTCCAACGGCGACTGACTAGATTATAATTGATCTGGTTAGGACGATGATTATGTGGGAAATTCCATGTGATTAGATATCTTCTTCGATGTTAGAGCATATATTTCTAACAAAAAATTCGCTTTCTTCGGTAAAGCAAAGAAAGCATTTTCCACTGGCACATCCTGCGTTATAATTGCGAGTTAGAGAGCCGCCGTGGCAACATTTACGGACGCATCACAGTCTTCTCCACTATGACCATATCATCTCTCGTTAGAGATATTGTAAGTTGGGGTTTTCAGTCGATAAAAGAATTTACCCTTATCATGATTATTTGTGCATAAAATATGTACTGATGTGCACTGAAGATCGAGTCACTGCAAGACTTCCTTTTGAAACATGCAAGGACTGTACTGTATTGTCGTTAGCTAGTTTCCATTCAATTAGAGCGGATCGACATGATTCAGACATAACAATCGGTTTGTTCCGAATTGCATAAAGCATCATAACAGTGAAACAGTTCTGCTCAGTTCAATAATTGCACGAGAGTTAAAGTGAGAAAAACGAACTTGCAACTTGAAGGCAGTGCTCACACAATATTTGGATAAAATATGAACGGTTATCATCAAATTTCCCATAAACAAGAGTATTAGGGCGTTTTTCCATGCTGCCATGGCTAGGTAAGTCTCAAGCAGTGATCTTGGTTTGACTGTTCATTTTTTACCAAACTTAGGGATCATTTTACCAGACCCAGTTTGCCCAGTTATCGTATATGCCACCATGCTAGGAGCATCATGCGCTGTAACCAAGCTCTTTCAACGTAAAATATAAATTTAGGTGACTTCCCAGCAGCCACCCGGATTTTAATTTTCTAACAAGTTTATTCCAATCAAATGAAGAAATAAGAAGATAAATATGAAAATATTAAACATGAAAATTTAATAGATAGGAGGTGTTATATTTATTGTTATTATTATTATTATTATTATTAATTTATTATTATTAATAAAGGGAAAGAAAAAATAAATAAATAAGTAGTAAATGTACCAGTATTATCAATTTTTTGCCTTCCGTTAATATTACTGTTCTTCTAAGAGTGCTTATTTTTGGATTGGCTGAGTTCACTGGCTATTAAGATGGGATCGGATCGGTTGATGGGACTCATCAACCGATAAAGATACGTCTCTAGATGGCTTCATTATCCCATATTACTAAAATTTAAAAATTTTCATATTTTTATATACATATGTTCTTTTTTTAAATTATCTCTTGAATTCCCCATATCATTTACCTTCGAAAAGATCTTTACAAATCTCTATCCATATAATTTTATTTGAACTTTTTTTGTATATATTATTTACTTTTAAATTTTAAGGAACATTTCCATTATGAAACTATTTTTATTTTTCTATTTTTTTATTTCTATTTTACTCCTATTTTTTGTTTTTTAAATTTTTAAATTTTGCAAAGAACAAATTATCAGTTATCAGTTATTAGGGTGAGAAATAAGAATATATTAAAGATCTGCTAAGAAATTTTCTACTAGATAACCAAATAAGTGGTTAAGGCTTATTATTCCTAATTAAGTTAGTATCGCTGACTGTTAAAAATTTTTGTCATTAGATGGTGAAACGCATTTAGTCAAGGTAGTCAACACCACCACTATTTTTTATTGGCATGTTCTCTTATCAGTATTTCTTCATTATTTATCATCAAGTAAAAATTTCAGCTTGGTTTTTGATTTCTGTTACAATTCATTATCAAAACTTTCAAAATTCCTAATTTATATGTGAATATTCAAAAAATTGAATATTAGAATAAAAAATTAGATTTTAGAGGTGAGTAGCATTCTGCGAATTGAAAGCAATTCCTAAAATAATTATTTAAAAATATTTATGTGTTTAAAGTTTTTTAATAACAAAAGCCAAGGTAATTAAAATTATTTAATTCAAATTCAAAATTATTTAAAATTATTTTTATTATTTATTGGTATAAATTTTTTCTAATTCCTCAATAATATATTGCATTTTAAATTTAATATATATTATTTAAATGTTAATACCAACTAATCTCTGCAATTAATAATTTGAATTTTCTGAAAATTTTTATAAAATAAATTCACTCAATTCATTTTTATATTGGAAACGTCTTACCCTTATAGTCAGTGAAGCCAGCCTGATCAGTAATGGTGAAAGATGTTAGAAGAAAGAGTAGAACTACAACTGAAAAATCCAGATGAAGCTGGTAATCTATACTCGCTTCTATAAACTTCCCTTGCAAAAATTTCTCGTATTATTAACAAAAGCCAGAGGAGTAAGTCTAATAAAACATGGTGATCGCAAACCATGTACTTTTATATACCAAAAGAATCTCTTTGTATCTCTTTGATGAAAAGAAATTTGTTACTTAGTAGATATAATATATATATTATAATATAGATATAAAATTAGATAAAACTTTAACCAAGAATACAGTAAATTAATTATATTATAAAGCTGTAGAAGAAGAATGAATAAATCTAGGCTCATTGATTATCTTCACATAATAAATTCTCATAAATTATTCGTGCAATTGTCATGAATGAGATAATTTCAGAACCAAGAAATAGAAATAGAGCAAAAAATATCAGAAAAGATATCAATCCTAAAACAATCCTGGAAACTGAAAAATGACTCAATTTTACTTTAACTGAAGATAAAAGTTATATTGATAAGCCGATTCAAATTGATAAACAATTAAATAAATCAATTATTTATTCTTAAATTTTTCTAAAAAATAAAATCATAAAATATATAAAATAAATAAATAAGTAAAAATTATTTTCAGATAAATGTAAACTTAAGATTTTATGATAAAAAATTTTGCAGTTTTGTCTCATTAAAACTTTCGCATATACCATATACCATATTTCTTAATACCATTTCATCCAGAGCATTCAGCCAGACCAAATAAACAAATTATCAGTTAATCTCAAAATTTCTAGATATGCAAAATAATCTTTTCTTTTCCTAACCACTTTTGGCTTGACTGGCTTTCCATTGACTAATATCCTGGAATCATTTCGCCAAAGATCCGCTAGGAGATAAATGTGTAGATGGATCTTTGGATTCTGCATGGACTTCATTTAACTTATTCTTGTCAAGAGGAAGGGAACGCCATCACAATGTTTGTCGATCGACTAAAATCGAAGCAACATATTATTAATCACTGTGTTATGCAAAATAAAGTTACAAAAATTTTGAACTCTATTTTTTCGAATTTTTTTGATATTCATTTTATTTAAGAAGAAAAAGTCTATACTTTTAACGTCACTAGTAAAACATATATTCTTTTGACCAACTAATTTTAACATCCCAATAAAGGAAAATCTCAATAACCTTGGAATATATATATATATATATATGAAATAATTTTTCATATCCATAAGTTTTCTCCATCCATAAATGAACACAGAAGTAACAAAGTTATAAATGAAATTGTAAATCTAATGATAAGCTTACCATGGAAATGCAGGTCCCTCAACGAATATTCTCATAGTTGATTGATTAGAAATAGCTGTGTTATGTGGTGTAAAGTTAAACAAAACAAAAAGTACGAATTCATTAATCAGCACCACAAGAGTAAATTGATAACAATTCTGCATAATTTACACAAATAGCTGATATTTTTAATCACATCTTTATGTGAGTGCTATATTCTAAACCTTGAAATATTTAAATAAATCCCTTTTCTCATTCCCAACTCTGGTAATATCCAATATTAATGGAAACTAAAAAATGAAACTTGCACAATTTTGAAAATTAAAATTTAGTAAGTGAGTGAGATTATGAATTTTGATGATATAATGATGATTTAAACTTTAAAAATTCAGATTTGTTAAAAACGAAAACGGAAAAAAAGCAAAAATTTTAATAAATTTCTGCTTGTTCTCAATAAAGTTTGAAAATTTTCATATAAATTTAAATATTAATGAACAACATCCAAATAAATAAATAATCGAAGAAAATTTATAAAATTCAACATTTTAAAACTGTTTCCAACTATTGAAAAATTTTAGCAGCCAGTTAAGGAATACTTACCTGGAAATCATTTTTGCCACGCTTTTCAGTTATAGCTTTCGCCTATTTTTTAGTCGTTAAAAGCGCGTAAGTAATCAAATAATTTCTAAATTTTGATTGGTTAAATATTCGTCGAATATCTGCTGAAAATTTTCGAATCTGTTAAATTAATTAATTCATAAATTAACGAATAATTGACACTTTTGACCATTCTAATTCGAGCTGAAATCGAAAATAGACTCTAACAGAACCCAAAGCTCATTTCTCAAATTTTTGGAAAAAACCTTTTGCATTCATGCATTAAAATATTCATGCATTTAAGGAGATATTCAAATGATCAATCTTATTTAGAACAATAATTACAGTAATTCTTAGGATTTGGAGACAATATTATCGTTATAGCATTGATCGTTATAGCATCAATGTCTGAATGACGGTCTGAAATGATATCGTTCAATTTTGAATCTCTTTCAGCCGTAAAATTTTTTCCAAGCAAATCGTTAAGACCAACATAACCAACAAATTTCTGCGGTGCATGAAAAACTATTTTTCTCGTCTTCTTTTTAACAGTACTCATCATTTCTCTATCAACTCCATTAATTAATGACAATCAGAGGGCGTCATTTGAACATAAAAGAAGGATTCTAATAGTACTCGAACCTCGCTTCTCAACAACAATTTCTGTTTAGAGGCATGAATCGAAGCTATGGTTTTATTCGGAGTAATAAAGCATTCGACCACCCTATTATTTCATTTGCTTTGAAAATTATCTATTAAGCAATTAAACTATTTGCCATTTTTTCACACAAATTTTTTAAAATTAGCTAGGTCATTAAGCTACATTTATACATTTAAGAACAGATTAATAAGAGAATAATGACTTAAACAAAAATTTTAAAAGCGCTTAAAGGTTTATTTCCACAAGTATTTTAATTCCACAAATAATCTAATGATACCGTTGCTAGGTGACTGAAAAGAAAACAGGTGAATATTTAAAATAAACTAAGAATTGCGCGAAAATCTAAGCAAATTAGCAATTAATTAATATGTATAAAATGATTAGACTATTTTTAGAAGGGAAATGAAATCCTCGAAACTCCGTTTTCGAAATTAATAAAAATTTGTTGTTTCCTCATTACGCATTATTTTTCTTTTTCGAATCTGACGATTTTACGAGGGCAAATCTCTGCTATGATTCAAATCAAACATGCGCTACCTCTAATTTTGAACCTGAAGTTTGCGAAAAAATGCGAGAAAATTTTTTTTTCTTCATACCATAGTTGGCAAATATGGCATCGGAGACCGGTGCGCCAATGGGTGCACCAGCCTTCTTTGTTATGCCAAAGAGCATGAACTTTTTGTAACTAATAATTGCTTCCTGCATCGTAGAAAACATCTAGTCACATGGAACTCCCTGGAAAAACAACATTTGAAAATAGATTATATCTTAGTCAGTCACGGATGGAAGAATTCCGTAGTGCTAGATAGTCGTTCTTATCGCAGCGCTGGAACGAACAATCTTCATGGATCTGACCATGTTATGGTCCAAGTCGAGATCCGCATAACTGACAACTCGCAAGAAATAGGATCCCTCAAGATCTTTCAACTATCTCAAACTAAAAAAATTGGGGACAGCGCAATTACTGAAGTATCTCAATGGTGTAAATATCAATGAAATAAAATTAATATTCTCTGGAACTGCAAACAGGTCCAAAGGAATGTCTTCGAAAGTCAGCGCTTCCACGCTAGGGCATACTAGTAGGAAATGTGCTAGTTGGGAATCGCAAGCAACTCTAGCTGACTGAAAACGCTGCCAAAGCACGAATGTCAGGAGATTCTGACTACCAGATGCTTCTGCAATGACAGCAACATGGCGAAACAGAAATCATTCTTGGAGCGATATGCTTCTGAGAATGGAGATAGCACCTCAATTAAGCGATAGTAGGAAACTATTCTGCCTTCTTCATTAAGAAACTATAACTCAGAAAACGATCATTGAAATGGTAAGGGACAACAATGGTGTGCCAGTTAAAAATATTAAGGATCGCCTCATGATATGGAAGGAATTCTTCGAGGGGCCAAACCTAACCATGAAGCGCCATATGTTGCCCTGGATATAGCTGATACGTTCGTCGAGCCATACGCTTACAATTACGAGTCGCTGACGGAAGAAGAAATCCCCGACATCCATAAGCTTAAGGCCAATAAGACTACGGGAGAAGATATTCTTCGAGGCAAACTCTTCAAATATTGTGCATCGTCATTTATAACACACATTTAAGAAATATGCTTTCTAGTATGGAAGAAAAAAATATCACCAGATAACTGGAGCAAAGCAATTCTGCTCCAAGAAAGATACAGGATACTGCGACAATTATCAAGGAATCAGCCTACATTTCAGCGAAAAGTTTTAATTTCCTTTTACTCAGTAGATTTATGGCACTACGGGATGTGCCCTAATCAAGCTGGATTCAGGGCAGGGCACGGTTATGCTGACTAGATATTCACGTTAAGAAAATGTTTCATTGACTTTGCAGCTGCCTTCGATTCAATTAATAGAACGGCGCTTTGGAAGGTGATGGAACTGGATGGTATTCCAAAAAAGATTATTCGACTCATAAAGGCATTTTATCAGCGTACGTATATGGTGAGCTGATAAAATCCTTTGAAATAAGAGCTGGTTTCGGTCAAGGTTATGTCGTTTATTCAACCTACAATATTCAACTATTTGATAGACTGGATAATGGACATCGCTTGTTGGTACTCAAGAGGTGTATAAATCAGTCCGGAACATCATATCACAGATCTTGAATACGCTGATCCTTTTTGCTGACAGTTATAATGAAATTATAATGAAATGCAAATAATGTTAAATAATGTATTAGCAACTGCAGTGAGAATCGAACTTCGAATTAATGTAAATAAAAGAAAAGAAAATCTTTTCGTCTTATGTACCAGAATCTATCTATTTTAAAATACCTATTTTAAATCAATCCATTGTGAATTGAGGAAATGCCAGATTTTAGATATCTTAATTCCACACTGGTCACAAACAGACAAGCGAACGACCCGAATAATATAGCTAGAAATGCGTGAAATCATTATGGGGTCATCACAAAAGCATTACGAAAGTCCGCCTTCATATAGCTGAAATTGGCTCGATCTTGCCATTTAGTGGTGGCGAGACATGGCCAATGAGAGTGGACGATATTAAGAAGTTATCTGCTTTGATCAATCATATCTAGGGTACATTTTACGGGTTCGTCAAGCGGATAAAATCTCACATGACTGCATCCAAATATTACTAATATCAAATACTACTTGCATTTAATAGTACCATCACAAAGCGTCGCATTCCCTAGTTAGGGCATATTCTTCGTCATCCACCATAAGAGTTGACATATATTTCGTTACTTGCTAAGTGCTATGATGGGTGGCGTCAAAAGTGAGGTGGGCCAATCAAGACCTGGACTGATACGGTTAGGAAAATTTTCGGACTTCCACTCCTAATACCAAGTAACATATATAGGTGGGCCAGCAATACATGGACTTAGACGGTGGAAAAAGAGTTGCTTCTATTACTATTGATGAATCGCGCAGCTTGGAAACATCTTATAGCCAGTGGAGTGTCTAGTCAGCCTAGTTAGTAATACTGAAAGCTGTTAGAAAAAGAAGAAGATTTAAGAAACCAATTAGTAAAGAATTAATGAAGCATGAAATCAGAACGATATATGAAAATAAATGCATTCTAAATAATAAGCGACTTTTGAATATTTTCCGAATTCCAAAATCTGGAATCAAATCTATGAAATCTGGGATGTGTTCTAAGTGATAATGGTGATTTTCCTCAAAGTGACTTTATGGTGAAAATAGCCAATCCTAGTAGACAAACCAGAAAAGGCAAGAAAAAGGCTGTTTGAAGAAGAAAAATTAAATCTATTTAACCGCATTTAGAATATAAATTTTTTTCTATAAATCGAGTTAAATATTTCGAGTTAAATTATTATTTATTTATTTATATCAGAAACTTTTTTCATATTATTTGAATCCTAATTGTCATATTAATTGTAAATTTAATAGAAATATAAATGATAATAATTAATTAATAATTAATTATTATTAATTATTAATTTCCAATTGGTGCAAAACTCCTGCCCTCTTGCAAAAATAAACATATAATTAAAAAATTTATTCATTTGGCTGACGACCCACCTTCACCCTAATATCTCTGGCAAAAATCCTTAATTATAATACTAATAGTCAATAGAGCTAATCCGGTCAAAAACAGTGAACGTTGGCTACTTTTATTTTTATTTAATTAAAAATATATCTATGATTTTATATTTCACTATAATGAGTACGGTTGATTATTTCTTTAAAAAAAATTGAAAGCCATGAATTGAAAACTCAACTCAACCAATTGAACAAGAAATTAAGAAATCATTTGAAAAACATTCTGGAAAAAAATAAATTGAAAAAAAACGAAAAATAAAAGAAGCATTTGAGAACAAATGTAAGAAAATAAGAACCGATTGAAAAAATTTTTGAAGGTGCTAAAGCGCAATTCATCAATCGGTTCGTGACGTCTAAATTTCATTTTATTATCATAGAAAATTGCTCGCAATCACCCATAGAAATAATCAGTTGCTTCAGAGTTTTTTTACCTTCGCTATGAACAATGTTTTTCGTGTTTATTTAAAAAAATATATAAAACTCCATTCCATGGATAATTCTCTACTCTAATATTATTTGAGATCAATTACCATTAATTGGGCTTTACACCTCATCCTTGTAACCAACGAAACCAGCCTAATTACCAGGTACGAGCTGCAATTACTACTGAAGAAGAAGATCATCACTTAAGCTATAAGTTGAAAAAAATTGTTATGCGTACATTACTGATAATAGCCAAAATTCTCAAATGAACATTCATTTTCAATCCTTGACATGAATTATTTCAAAAATTACTTCTGTTCCAACGTATCAGTTGCGAAAGATAGAGAAGAAATGTTGCAAGTACAAATAAATAAATTATTCTTCACACATATATGAGTGTTTATCAAATTTTTCTTTTTTGAATACCACACATCATTTCTGGTTCGATAGTTTACTAGGGAGATGAGAAAATTACTTGGAGATAGTGAATCCGTGGCACCATCCGAATATCAGCCGTAATTCTCATCAAAGTGCAAGAACCAAGACTACAGTGCTTAGCATTACTTGAATAGTGTATCACTTGTCCATCTTACGCTGATATCGAATTTCGTTAAAAAGCAACATCATAACTAGAAAAATTATTGTTTCTAGATTAATCAGTATAATGTGGGATGACAAATGAAATTCGCTTTTCTTTAAAGAAAATCGTTCGTCAACAATTTGGCAATAAAAAAATGAACTATTTTCTTGGTGATATATAATAGTCATTTGCATAGTCATAAATTTATAACACAAACTTTTCTAGTGCGAAATATTTAATATTATTAATGTTAATATTAATATAATATTTAAAACATAAACAGTCAATTTTCATCGAATATAAAGACAATTTTATATAAATATAAGATAAATAAAGGAAAAGAA